TGATGAATTCATGGCAAACCTGCAGCTTGTGGGCCATGCTGAGCAGTCTGCTCTTCTCTTGTGAGCAGGGCTGTGAAATGCACAAAAATCCTGTCTTGTGGTGCAGCTCTCATTCTGTGGGCAAAGAAAGGGCACTCACTGAGAGTGCAGGAGGTGAGATTGGAAGCATGAGTGGAGCCTGGCAGGAAGGTCTTAGAAGGAAGTCATAAGCTCAAGGACAATTTTGTAATCCCTGTCTCTGTTCAAAATACTTGCATTGGATTCAGGGATTCTGATAACTGAACAGATAATATCTGATCCTTCATGGATTAATGTTACAGTTAATGAGTTCTGTTTATTGCTCCATTCTGGGCAAAACCAGTCAATGAAGAAAAAGAAAACTCACATGAGGGAGTTCATCCTTATTCATCACTTTATATCTTCCCCTATAAGGCACTTCATTCCCTGCCCACTGGTGCAAACAGGAGGAGAACATTAGGAAGCAGTCCAGGCTCCTCCTAAGGCACTGTCTGGTGGCAGGATCTGTCTCTCTGAGAACATATCTGCTTTTCACAGAATCCTTCAGCTTCCTGTCTGTAGGATATATTAGGTAGGTTTTAATGACAACTCCAGACTAGTGGAGGCTGGTGCTCAGCATTTTGCAGCCATGTAGGTTATGCCAAATTCAAAGAAACCACAAGTCTGGAGCTGCATGGCAGGTTAGAGGTAGATGTGGCTGGGCCGAGTGTTAACCAAAGAAAGTGGATATAGCAGCAGCCCTTTGAATACTAGGGTTAGGTTGGCTTCTACTACAAAATAATATTCATTTGGATTCACAGTTAAAAATGTCACTGTTGTGCACACTCACATCAGCTCAGAATGAACTGTCAGTGGAAAATACGATCTTCTAGAGAAATTCCCTTGTGCTTTTTCACTGCACAGAATCCTGGAACCCTCAGAGGCGGTGCAGAGGCACAGAACAATGTGATTTTTATGTAGTCACACAACGTGCATGACCAAAATGTCTGCTGCATATAAATAATACAGATACAGATGCCGCCTTGTCGAAGATGTAAGAAATAAAGAAGTGCAGTTCTGAAGTGCTCTGGCAAAAAGCTGTGTTTTCAATTTGGAATGAGAGCTGGGAGCATGTGAAGAATAAATGAAATGGAGAGATTAGGCAAGAGTATAAGGCTTTACTGACAATGTCAGATGCCTGGGGGACAAGAATGAAGCAAGGACCGAGATGAGGGATAGAAATAGTTTCTATAAATTGAAGTAATAGGTCTAAGAAGTCCAGAAGATTATAAAAGCTAAAATAGCAAAAAGAGTATTGAAAGAGCAATGAGTGGAAGAGCAGATGGAGAATTGAGATTTAAGGACTGAAAGCAGCCAAGATAAGGCAACCAACAATGATGAAGTCTCTGAAGTGAGGGAAGACAATTGGAGGTGGTGTCTTGGAAGGCTGAAGGCATTGGATAAAAGGAAGTAGAAAGGAAATGCTGAGATTTAGAGAGTGAAATCAAGAAATTCAGTGTTTAACCTCGTGAAAGTAAAGGTGACTACAAACCAAACTCACAACTATTGATTTGAAGTGTCAAAATGTTAGGAAGGGCCAGCATGTCTCAGAGTAAGAGCTTATGTGTGACTTGAGTACTGTAACCAAGGACTGTCCTAATAATGGGTAAAAAACCCTGTAGCTTGAAGTAATCCCGAACTCAGAGTGTTTTGGCCCAAACATTGATGATGTAAGCATTCTTCTTTAAAAAAAGAAAAAATATTTTATACCTTCAGCAGCAGCTGTTGGGTACAGGCTTTAATTATATTTAAGTCAGTGTATTGGTACCAGCTGATGGTTAGAAGATGCCTACCAATTATTTTTTTTTTTACTTGAAGACCTTTCAGTTAATGGAGAAGTCCAAATGAACTGGTATTCCAGTTCAGACAGAAATCAGCTCAGTAAGACTGTGTCCTTTCAGGTGTTCCTCCACAAGATAGAATAGAACATCTTGCAGTCTCTGAATGTTACAAAATGTGTAAATAAGGAAAGAAGAGTTTTGTCTGAAGGACTGGATGGTTCTAGATAGGAGTTATTTTTCTCCTAGTGATAAAAGTCCTTCCTAATTAATTCCTACACAACAGCCCTGCTGTCTGGTTGTGTGAATATATATATGGTTTTCAATAACCAAATGCAATGCAAGTTAATGATGCACAATATAGCCCTAAGGGAAAAGTTAGAAATTATCTTCTGTTTCTCCTCTTCAGGAGAATTCTTGCTAAAACTTTGTATATGGGGGAGGTTTTGGTTGCTGTTGGTTTTTTGTGGGTTTTATTCACCAGGAGCCAGCTTCTGCTTCATCGCTCATTTTTATGGTAACCTAACAAAAATCCCTCCCAATGAAAAAGTTGAACTCTTGAATGGGCTCAAATTTTGGGAAGCAGTGTCCGAAACAATTCCAAAATGCATGAGGCTTCAAAGGACGGATATATTATCTAAAAATTGGAATATTATCTTTTAATAGAGATTTGTATTTCACCTGCTGAGAATTCCACAACAGAAGCACCCAAAGAAAAATGGGCTTGAATACTATGACAGTGCATTTTCATCAGCAATTAAAGCACCGTGGTCTCTTCAGATGTCAGTCACGAAAATGAGCATCACACTTCAGAAAACCACAGTGAAACCAATGGATAGCTGGAAATTTCAGGGAAATCTAATTTTGTACTCCAGTGTATGAAATATAGTTATTTATAAGGTGTGTGATGGCAGTGGTGAATGACACCTTGAATGACATCAGGGTGACAGGCTGCTGAGGAAGAATTCAGAAAAATCTGACCAGATGTTTGGGCAAAACACTGTTTCTTTGTTTTTAGTAATTCTTTCAATCAGCCCGATGTGGACTTCTCTGAAAATTTTCAGAGGCTTTCAGTGATTAAGAATACTTTTTTCTTGCAATGGGATACAGAAACTATCTGCCTAAAAATAAATAAATATCAAAATTATTTCTTGTTTTTTCAGGGGAAATAGTCTTCCTCTTGTCCCTACCCTCCAGTAACTCTAGAATATAACTTTAGTGTCTGCTCTATCTCACCTGTGATGTCTAACGGGGTGAAAATAGGACTTTTGTGAGGGATCTTCTTCCTAGATGTGTAATCAGATACCAGTTTCTGCTTCAGCAAAATGAAAGAAGTTGTTTCAGTGTTTACACCATTGTTCCAGTCAGCTATTGGAATTGTTTCTAGTTATTCCCCTCTTGGTTTTAGGAGGAGATGTGAGGAGTAAAGCAGTTTATTCATAATTGCCCTCCATTTCAGTGTTTGCCCACTAATACTATCCCTGCAGATGAAGTTTCTCTTATTACCAAAAGAACTGTAGGCCTGCTAAGGACCATGACTCTCTTTAGGGATGCTTTGACATACAAGTGAAAAACCTTAAATAAACCCAGTATTATCTAGTTTTTATTTTAAGAATCTTTCCCTCAAAAATAACCCACTTTATGTCCCCTGAGACAGCATCTCCTATTCTTCTACACCACTCCATAGCCTTTGACAATGTTAGACAAGATTTCGTTATTAAAGATATTGCTATTGTGATCATTTCCACTTCTGGTCTGGAAAAGGATAGTGAATAATAAGAGCAAACTAACTACATAAAAATAAATTTTAAAATCATGGAAAATAATATCTGAATAAGTTGGGTTTGGTCCATCTTAACCGATTCTTAATTATATTTTATTAATTCAAGTAATTTAACTTTCTGATGTGAAAAATGTTTTGCCCTCTTCTGCTGTTTCCAGCATTTTAACATCACTGTGAGACTTTTTGGTCATACATTAGAGTAATGGAAATACTTGCTGACATGCAAAACCATGCTCTATATGTGCTCTGGAGGATGTCTGCTTTAGAAGATGAGTGAAGATGAGACAATGACACATAATTGCAGCTCATTTTTTTGGTTGTCAAGTTTTAGTGTCTCCTTTTAGGCCTATTGTTAGAGTTTTGATAAATTTCATTGGAAGATTACAGACTGGTGCAAAAGCCTTTTGATCAAAAATTGTCTTTATTTGGTTGGAATGGATTTCAGGGCTTTACCAGGCTAAAAAAACCTCCAGCTCAAATTCCAAGACACGTTCAGAAAATCGTGCAATTCTGCAGCTATCTCATTTTAAGAGGTTGAAATGATAAAGACCACACAAATCGTTTCATGAAAGACCTTCAAGCAAAGCTTAATTTTTTCCCTTTGGAGAAATGGAATTTCTTCATCCTAATGAAATCCTTGTCTATGGCACTGGTCTTTTTCATTTCCTCCCATAAAACCAAATATTACCCCTTTTTTTTTTCCAGCTGTAATCGACTCTGCAAATACAAACAAATGCACATGCTTATTGAACTCCTACCAAAGTTAAAAACCCATCTTTGAGCTTCTGCAGCACTGGAATCTGAGGTGAATGCAAGAAAGGAAGACTTTGCATCCAAGGAGGCTGCTTGCAGCTGTGCTGGAATTGTCCAGCAAAACAGGGAAAATGATCTTTTGTTAACACAAAATATGAAGCCACTTCATTAGTTCAATGTTTGGTTCAATATTAACTGCTCTAACAGTTGTACGAAATGAAGTTTTTATACATACAACAAAAATTCAGATGTGAACGTGGAGCAATTCGTTGTTTTTTTTTTCAATCTGACCTCAGTGATTAACAGGTGGACAACATCTGACTTTCGTATATTTTTAAAAATCTAGAAATGTTTAGTCTATTCATGTGGAGTCTTAAGAAAAAAATCCCCTTATTTTCAAAAAAGGTTTCTGCATGAAATTTTGATGCTTCTGTATATGTGTTGCTTAGGGGTTAGGCAGAGCAATTTAGCTTAGAGCTGCCAATTGAAACACGAAGTGTTTAGCAAAAAATGTGCATCTCTAGTCTGACACGGTTTTCAGAGCAGCATCTGCAGTTTGTTTTGTTGTGGTATTTAGATAGATATTCGACTTCTTTCCTCAGCAAGTCCAATTTTCCTTTCACAGTTAAAACTGGCTTCTGAGTTTACAATAGACTGGTCTGGACAAGAAGCACTACAGATGAATTTGGACTGGAGATAGCTGGATCTGAAGAGATGATCATAGAAATGTGTAGGTAAAACCCCTGACCATGGGGAGGATACATATTTTCATTTGGTGTAAAAAGCTGAATGTCTCTAAATGTTTTATAAATATTTGGGACTTCTGCTGTATTTTGCAAAACTGTTTGTAGAAACTCTCCACAACAGACACACCCAGATCACCAACCCCGTCTGCTGGACCCAGAGCCAGGAATCCTATGCTTTTCCTGCCTGTGCCCTAGTTTCTGATTAGTTTTAACTTCCTTTTTATTTTTATTGTCAATCTCCCCAAACCTTTGTATCCTGTGTCTTAACTCATCGATAGTTTAGGACGTACCTGCCTCGCAAAAAAAAAAAAAAAAATCCAGAAAATGGGGTCACTTTTAAGTAGTTTCTTGGTACTCAGAACTCACGGCTGCACAACTAACACCCAAGTGCTTTGCTTAGCACGGGAGGAAATGTGCCAGGCAGTGTGGCACTGACTGCAGGGATGTTACTGGGTCCATCACTGCCACATCAGCGGGAATCCCTTTCCTGTCTCTTTTGGTGCAGAACTGGAGGCTGCTGCTCCTGCTGAGGGTGAGGGGGGTGCTGGGTGGGCAAACACGGAAAGCTCACAGCAGGGCATGGCTGTGGAGAAGGGATGAGGGCACCATGGAGCCTGGAGGGCCGCCAGGAAAAGGGATGGGGCAGCTTTGGAGCAGTGTGATGATGCCTCCTGTGACACAGAGCAGGAGTGATGCACTAGGGAAGGAGAAGCCTACAAATCTTTCATGGAAAAATACCCTTTCTTTCCAGCTAGCTCAATAGCTTCCCTTCATTAACTTGGATAATTTGTTTCATCCCATGTGATTTTTGAAGATGAAGTGCCATACCTGGACTCTAGTGCAGTAAATCTCAAACCTATCCCAGTTATACTCGTGGAACAAAATCACTTCTATATAAAGCAGCATTTTATGTGCTAACACAAATATGGAAAGCTGGGGAAGGAAAATATGAGTTCTGATACTTGATCTTGAAATCCTGCAAGTATAGCTGTGGTATATTTCAATTAACTGCCTTTCTGAGAAAAAATGTCTTCTATTATTCAAACCCTTGCTACCTCTTTTGAATTTATGACTGTCTAAATATGCTGTGTGGCTGAATTACAAGGCATGTGTATATTAAACCTGGTGACTGTGGGAAGCAAGTAGCAGTGATATACAAGGTAAAGAATGATCAAAACCAGGAGCTGATGTGACCAGTGGACTGTAATAGATGTAAGTAGTTTGAGTGCTTGTCATCTGTCCACATGATCCCTAATGCTGGCAGCCTGTGGAAAGTGATGCGTGGGAAACTAGTGCAAAGTGCAGATTTATTTTATGCTAATGGGGAAAAGTCCATATTGTTCAAATTAAATCCTAAAGCAGAAACAAATCATCTAGCCAAAGCCCATCCTATGGAGTTTCATTGAAACAGTTAGTGGTCTTTTTCATGACCTCAAAGTAAAAATTAAACAATGTTAGGGGCTGCTGTTTTCAAGTGCTTCTGGCTGCTGAAAGCAGCTGAGATTCTCCTACAGATGGCTATTTAAGTTAAAAGCCAAATGGGGGGATCACAGCAATTAGTGTGCATTGGCTCCTAACTGCACCAGAGTGAATAATGTGGGAGAAGAGAGCCAGGACTCTGCCTCGGCCTGTGCTTTTTCCCACCAGAGGCTGAGTACCAGCAGTTCTTCTCAATTAAAAAAAAAAAAAAAAAAGAGAGCAGGGGGAATTTCTTGCTGCTGCTTCACTTGAACAAAATAAAAGAGATTTTGAACAAAATAAAAGAGATTATGCAAAGATGGACTAAAGTGGGAGTGGGAGGAAAGAAAAAAATATTTCAAAGAGAAGAGCAGCCCACTTCAGGGCTCTCCAACTGGATCAATGTAGTACAATGTTTCTCCTACTTTTGCCATAAACTGCCTCCCCTGAGGCTCACGGCAGGCTTGTTGCTCTCCCAGGCTTTTTTTTAATGTAGCCTGAGGCCACATAAAGTGTAATAGGACTTTTATTTAAAAGAACAGAAGGGAGAAGTGATTTATCAACTTGGAGATTTAGAATTTCCTGAGGAAATACAGAGAGGCATAAGTCTTATGATTTAACTTTTTTTTTTTTTACTCATTTGTGCAAGAGATACAAAACTATATAATAGTATAAGTCCCATTTCACTAAAATTCTTACAACATTGTCCTGTGAGGTACTTTTATCCTCACTCCTGAACGTCCCTGAATGTTCATTTTTTCAGAAGTTTCTAGCTGTCCGCTGGAATGACTTGGAGCAGTGAGATGACATTGGAAGATACTGATCAGAAAACTGGTCTCAGATTTCAAGTCAGAAAATGTCTCTGGAGAATGGTTAAGAACAAGACCAGCATTTTTTCCTTCAGGTCTTTTTCTTAGGGTGAGTGGAAAACAATGGCAACATGTTTGTGTGTCATGGTCTTTGTTGAAGCAGACACTCAGCTTTTGCCTCTCCCAGATGGAGTGATATAAATGTGATTGCCTTATGCTCTTTCCTGGCTTGTCACTACCACCTTGGGACTAGTAATCTGTAAATTAGAATTTATTCTGTTGGTGCTCCAGTGAAAAGGATTATTGGTGAAAAATTAAAAATGGGAACTGCTTTCTACACTGCTATTATAGCCTCCTTAAAAATGAGGAATGAGGAGCCCACAGCTAATAAATCCAGAAGAGGAATGCTCCTAATATTGTGTGAAGGGTGGCTAGGGGACAGTGCTCAGTGATCTTTGAGTGGTCATGGTGATGGGGTAGATTCCTGAGGACTGGTAGCCAGCAAGGATTTATGTTATCAGCCTTCACCAACCCATCAGCCCTCTTCAATGTAATGTCTGGCTTGCTGGGGGACAGCAGAGCAGTGGATGTTGCTTACCTCAACCGTAGCAAGGCTTAAGTCTCTCCCACAACATCCTCATGGAAGAGCTGATGAAATACACACCGAGAAAATGGGTTGAGAACCAGCTGAGGCACCAGCCTTGGGAGGTTGGGATCAGCAGCTCTGGGTCCAGCTGGAAGCCAAGGGGGTACCCCAGGGGTCAGTTCTGGGGCTGAGTCGGTGCAGAATTGAAAATATGAAATGTGTCCTGCCCCTTGATGGCATCTGTGTCCCTACACAAGGGTGGTGCAAGGGCACAGAAACTGAATCGATGCCCAGGGCACAGCCAAACTAGCTCAGGATTTAACAGCACAGATCATTTCAAGTAAAGGTTGCTGGGGTCACAGGGGGAAGCAACATTCGTGCATCAGAGAGTCTCAAGCTGATTGTAAACTAGAGAATAGAATAAATGGATGCCAGCCAGCTGTGGGAGCTGGTGACAGAGACAAGAGGCTGTGGAGCTGACCCTTGACACTGGCAGTCGCAGTTGCCTGGCACAAAACCTCCCCTATTGCAGCAAGAGAGACTGGGAACAACTGTTGGTGCCAGCAGGGCTTTGGGGAAAAGCCAAGCCAAGCTGCATTTCCATTGGAATTTATTTACTCACAGCAGATGAGATACAAACCAGGGAGCTCAGTGTGGCAGTGGGCACTGGAACTGAGGGTTTGCACCACTCCATGCAGCACAGGAGGCTGTTTGTGGGGGCAAGTACAGCATCACAAACCTGCTTGTTGTCATGCTTGGAACCAGGGGATCATTCATTGTTCTCAGGACATTGAAGGTGCAATCTCAACCTGCCTGCTTTTCCTCTTGCTTGGAATGTAGGTGAATGACAGACCAGCCACTTTCTCTAGGATGTTTTGATAAAGAATTATATCACCCTGACCTAAACATGTCTTTGCATAATTCAGGAAAGTGTCTTAATTTGCTTTTTTTATATTAAAAGAACGTCCCATGTGACACAGTGGTCACAGAGCAGGGTAGTGAAGTGTTTGCCCAAATTCTGCAAAAAGCAGTCCCTAAGGTGGGCACTTTTAAGCAGGAATTGTACACACACATTTTGGACTGGAGATTATTCTCTACAGTGCAAAACACAGACAGACACACAGACACATCCCCCAGCCTCCCACCTCTTCCTATGAAATGCAAACACCAGTGGCTCTTCATTATGTTAATAAACATACAGAGAATATGGGGTTAAATAAACCTCTCTGCAACTTGGTGGCTGGGAATATTGAGCATCCTTACTCTGTGTTAGCATTAATCCTCTATTTTAATGCGATTTGGGACTGAAATTCATATGAATGATACAAAAATAGAATTCAGGGATAAATTAAAATCAGCTCTGCCTGTAACACCAGTTGTTTCCAAATGAGATTGAGGTGTTTGTGTCTATACAAGCAGCATGTCGACTGTGAGAGGAGTTGCAGAGTTTAACAGTTCCTTATGCTTCGAGGGTGTTGGAGGGAACTTTTGATTTAAAATGTAGCTCCTGTGTTTATATATGTATATATACCATATGGATTATCAGAAATCTGCAGGGAGAGTAGTGAAATAATATTGACTTCCTTTATGTCTCTCGTATATAGAAATATAACTGCAGAAAGCAAATCCACAACATGTTACAACACATCATCTGTGAAGGTGATCCAGTGGGTCTGTAGAACTTTGGAAAAATACTAAATGCAGCATAAAGAAAATATAAATTATAAATCAAATAATAATGTGTTTACACACTCCTTTATATTTTTGCAGTAGTTCATAGAAAGGAGAGCAACAGCTGATAATATATTGTAAATTAGTTTCTCAAAATAAAAGATGTATCTTAAGAAAAATGAAGTCATGCAATGACACATTCAGCAATGCACACTGAATTAATTTATTAACCTTGAAGGATGCCATTGCAGAAGGAAGTTAACACAACCCACACTGGAGGGCAGTATTGACTGCCAGAATTACTGTCAATTCCTGTTAATCCAGAAGGTTTTGTGCAGCCTGGGTTTGGGAAAGGCTGGGTTGAGTGTCCCATTAGGGACTTTTGTGTTATGGAAAGTTAAATCTACAGGCATCTGCCTCACATGCTTAGACACAGCATATGTAAAAATTATTTTTTTCCCTTTCAGGAAGAACTTTGGTGTGAGTATTGTCTTCATCCATGGCAGCATCTGAAAGATTTTTGTGAAATGTGTCATTCTGAATGATGCCACTATCTTGTAGCTTCAGTCATGGACTTCAACCAAGATTTACCACAACTGATGTATGGAATAAACAGCTTCCAGCTATATTTAGAGGAGCATTTTGATACATGTGAAGAAAAACACAGATTATAACAACACAACCCCATGTAAAATGGATAACCCTTATTTGTTCTAACTGAAACAAGCTGTTCTGCTAAACACCAAATGTCTGCAAAACAGCTGAAGGTAAATATCTTATTTACCTATTAAGGTAAATATCTTGGTATATAATCTCATGTTTAAAGGGGAATGTTAGTGTTTAGAAGAGGAAATAAAAATTCAAGAAGATAAATGACTTTATTAGAGAAAAATGTGCAGCTAAGAAGAAAAATGGTTTATTAAGCAAACATTATTGTTACAAAACTAGTAACTCTGATACTAACAAAAATAAACCAGTAACCAAAGAAACTAAAATGGGAGTAAATATCTTGTTCTGTGGCTTTATCAGCTGATGACTGATGGTTGATTTCCTCCTCCCTAGACATGTCACACATGATTTGTACTTCTCACCCTGCAAGTCAGAGGCAGGTGAAAGTCTCTGCTGAACATGTTGTGCTTAGATATTTGTCAGAAGCGCTCTTGCCTATCTCTACCAACAAACAGAAATTGTCATTTCCAGGAAATGGGCCAGTGTAGCTTTTGCAGTATTTTTATTACTCGTGAAAAGAGGTTGAGAAGGATATTCTCAGTAGCAATAACAATTTTTCCTTCAAACATTTTGCATTGCTGTGAGTGGCTGTGATACAGGAATACACACATTTACATATCAACCTGGCAGCCAGTACTACTTACACCTTCCCAAAGCTGTAATGTTGATGGATAATTTTCACCCTTGGTAGCATTTTTTGAAGGTGTCAGTGCCAATATCAATTTCCCTTAGCAGCAGGATTCTCTGTAAATAGAATCAAGCAGAATTTGTCATAAATCGGGGTTTTCTGGGTTTTTTTAGAAACTGTTTGTGAGATCGTGACTTTTCTACTGTTTTCTGAGTCAGAGTATTTCAAGACCTATCAAATGAGCAATGGAAAAATACAGTGAAGGTTTGCTAGGTAGCACTTCATATTCTGTTAATACAAAGGATTTTTGGTAGCAGTTATCATGATAAGAGGTTTATTTAATAGCTTTTTTAAATATATAACAGAGCTCAAGAGATTACCTTTCATGTTTCCATTCTCCTGTTGCTTTTGGTGGGCATTGTAGTGTAAGACCTTAAAGATCTGTGTCCATCAGGAATGGACAGAGTACACTGGTAGGTTAATCACTGATTTAGATGGAGAGTCTCTCTTTCCTAAACTTAGAAGATGTGTTCTCTGTCCTCCATGTATTAAACTGCATTTCAGGTGGCTGCTTATGCTCATTTGGAAATCCTTTATATTACCTTCACACAGACCTGGTCCTAGCCTTGGACTGGATCTCTGATTTCTCTCCTCTCTGATCTTAATTCTTCAAATTCTTTTGCCATTGGAAAGCCCTCCTTGAATTGTGCATGAAGATGACTTTCTTTACCAAAAGAAACTTGTGCTCACAACAGGACCCCACATGTCAATCTCCTTACCAAGCTCACCCTTAGCTCAGCACGAGCTCTGTCCCCTTCTCTGGGGCAGAAGGGACAGATTCTCTTGGAGCTGCTGTAACCCCAACTCTGGTGACATCTTGCTTATCTCATTCCCGAGGTCACTGACTCGGGTATAACACACTCCTGGTCCTGGGCTCTGATCAGGAAATATAAACTTGTCTCACTAAATTACTCCCAAAATAGGCCTGAATTCCTTTAAAACAGGTTAAGTATCTATCAAGTGCCTTAGCCTTGTCCTTGTTTCAGTCTTGGCATTAGTTCATCTGAGTAGATATCCATCAGAAACAGGACTCACCATTCCTAGTCTGCCACTGTCTCTTGCGTTCTTCCATGTGAGATCCAAATGCCCTTTTCCAAATGCCCAGTGGACATTCTGAGCTTAGCTGCCTGTATATCCTGCTGCTTTGTGCTGATGTGCCTTTGAAAAGAACAAAAATATAGTAAGGATTTTAGAAGAGAGGAATTATTCTCCATTTCTAGACACTAAAATATTCACTTCAGATATAAAGAGCAGGGAAATTTCATTCTAATGGAGTTAATTCACATGGAGAACAAAGCTGAGAAAGTTTTTAATGTGTTGTGTCTTAGTGCTTCATTTAGATAATTAGGTACAGCTTCCTGATGGAAATCAGGTGCAGTCATTAATGGCAATCTGGGTGTCTGGTGATTTCCAGAACAGGTGTAAAAGAGTAAGAATAAACTGAAGTTTTCAGTAAAGAGAGAACTTTGTTTTCAGATGAAATCAAGCTTTCTGGCTTGTACACACAGAAGTTGTTTCCATATTGAAAAAGTTCTCCGCCTCTTGTCCCTGTAGTATGAAACAATCTGTAGTTTGCTTTAATTACTGGGTAATTGATTCCTAAAGATAATACCTTCTTTATGGTCACTGCCTGTGCTACAAGTCAGAAAGAAGCCTTTACACTAAGCTAGTCCTGCAAAAATCTTTTTGATCCTTTTCAAGTCTAGTTGTAAACAATGAAAGAATCAAATATTCTCAGACTTCAAATGGTCCAGGACAACCCTCCTTTCCTTCATTATCTGGAGAAAAGGCTTTCATTTTGTAGCCAAATAAGCATCAAAGGATCACAAACTTGGAAACAGCGAGTTATGGAGGATTATGTGGAAGGATTGCAATGAACCCTTTCATTATTATTATTATTATTATAAGAGTCAGTGCAGTACTCCTTTGGCAGCTCACAGTTCAGCATTTGTAATAGACAGAGACACTGGTAAGTGAAACATTATGGGATTCATTAAGTGTAATTTTATAGGTTGTAACTAAAACCATTGACACTCAATAGAAATTTTTAATACAATGCCTTTTGTTGTACATTATATTGAAAATTGCATGTATATCCAAGAGAGTTTGGTCACGGTTATGTTTCTGTTAACAACGATTGGGGCAAAATAACATTTCTTTTACCACATAGTTCAACAAATTAACTGCATAGAGAGACTGAATTCTGATCCAAGAACTATTTCCACGTAAGCAAGGAACAATTGCTAAATACTGCTGAGCCAGCCAACAGAGAATGTGTATGTGCCAGAAAAGCAAGAACTGAAACCCTGCCCTGTACACTGCTGGATGAACCATTGGGAACATCACGACTCTGGGTGTTCCTAATGGGGTGCCAGAAATCTTTCTTCTTGCCTGGTGGTCAGGGGAAGATGCAGAGCACTGCCTTGCCACTTGTACAACTGAATGAAAATGAAATTTTTCTCCTTTAGGTAAACTGGAGAACACATGTTTTGCAGAGGCAAGAAGAGGAGGAAGAAAATCATCATGGGAGCAGAGAGACTCTTGATTTATGTAACTCCCTTTTGAAGAACAGGAACACCTTAGGTTCAGTCAGGGCCTTGAAGTAATTTCTTATGCAAACCAACCTGAGCTCAAAGCCAATAGAAAATATTTCTTTCAAAAAGCCCTCTAGCTTTTTAAGTAAGATCATGACATTTGCAGGGAGAAGTGAGCTGATGTGAGAAGAAAACAGCTTGGTATCACTGCTCTGGGGCTTGTCTCTCCAAGTGCAATGTGGCTGAGAACCTGTAAAAAACATCCTGGCATCTCCAGGGAGAACATTTCATTTCCTTCTAGAATTTTGTGATATTTTAGCAAAGCACAATGCAGAACTGAAGAACCTCTATGCTGTAGCCTGAGACCATTAGTGAGGATGATTTAGATTAAAACCTTCTTCTCCCTGTTAAGCCAAGCAGCACCCTTGGCCCTACCATACTGCTTCTTATCTGTAAGAGCTGGCACTTGTTGGACCTGGCCTGAAGTGGTTTGTCTGCTTAATGAGATGGCAGATGACAATTTCTGTAGTTCCTAAGATTTTAAAACAAGTAATGATCACATAGTCAAGTCCTGTTGAAATGCTCGGTACTGCATCTCAAAAAAGAAAGAGCAAAGATTAGCACTGCACAGCAGAGCATTTGCAGAAATACCATAAATAAACCCCTGATGGCACCTGGAGGCCGAAACAAAGTCAACCTTCCTGGGAGAGACAGTGTATCCCTGCTGCTGATAATCCACCTGCACTGTACCCTGGTGAGCCAAGCTCTGTTTCACACATTTGGGCACAGATTAATCCAGAAATTCCCTAAAGCTGAGGAAGTGGCACGTGGCAGTACACCTGCTCCTAACCCTAAGTGAGCCAACAATGTCTCCTAATCCATGGGGCTGAGGGTTGTATTTACTGAAATTCTGACCCCTCAGGTGCAGACCTCAGAAAAACAGACATGGAAAAGAAACTCCAGCAGCTTCTCTTCCAAAGACTCTACCCTGTTTTTTTTTACAGTTCTGTATTTATCCAAACTGATTTCTGTATCCCTTTGCTGGACTTATTTGATTCCTCTTCTTCCTGCCTTTCTTCATCAAGCCCCAGGCAAACAACTGCTCCAGTGGAACATGGAAACTGCTTGGAAAAGTTAAACCTTAGGTACCCTCCTTTATGAGCTTCCCTTCCTTTCAATGCTGCTGTCACTAACATTGACATGAAATTATTATGGACAGAATTTGATGTCTTTGCATACATTAAATTATTTGAAGAGACGCCACAATGTACAGTCACAGGAGACAGTGGATTATTAAAACTGAAAATAATAATAATAAATCAATGGCTTTTACTTCACTTCTGCAATCTGGGTTCTTTCATGGAGGCTTTACCATCTTCCCCTGGTGTCATTGGCTGCAAGAGCTCAGCTGTAGGACCAGCTGAGTCTGGAGTCAGGGTAAGCTCCCTGTCCCAGCAGCTCTCACCTTGCACCCCTGTGCAAAGAAGGCTCTGCTTGGCTCAGCCTTTTCCAGCAGCTCCAGCCTTACCTGCAATTTCCCTGGAGAGATGACTTCTTACTCTCAGCTTGCAGAGGCAGTAGGAAGAATTGGGATTTGAAGCTGTTGCTGTTATCTACAAGGATGGAAGGGAGAGGAGACATCAGTGCCTGCCCTTTCCCTCCCTTTCAGACAGGCAGAATTATCTTGCACAGACAGGCTTTCTGACAAGGAATATCACCAAACCCCCATTCCCTGCCCTGCAGTTGAGAAGGAGCCATTCAGGGAACCCTCAGGTACCAGGGCCAGACTGTGCAGCTGCTTTGTCTAAAGGCTGCAGACATTCAATAAAAAAAAGGTGGCAAGAAATTAAATTCTGTGACTTGCGCATTTTGAGCAGTGATGGAAACTCAGGGAGGCTCTTTACCAGTCCAGACAGGAGAACTCCTGGAGCAGGGCCTCTGCAACAAGAATTTCACATGTAAATTATTAGTTAATGGGGTGGGAAAAACAAATTGACATTGGAGTGCTGTAGCCAGCAAAACACCACAGCAGCCCAACATCATCTCTGAATCACAGATTCTTTACGTTTCCTCCAAAGTACAGCTGATTCCTGAAAGAATTCATGTAAGAAAAGGCTTCTGCCCATCAGATGGTGCATAAGAATAAATGTGGTATTAAATCATCTCAGAGACACAATTAATTAAAAAAAAAATAAAATCAACACATCTTTGATAAGACACAAATCATCAATTCCAAAAACTCCTAATTTGATGAACAAATCAAGGAGATGATTTGTTCACCTCAGTGATGAAAAATAATTACCAGATGATTTTTATGATGAGAGCAGATTGTGCAGCTGACATGTAGTCAGAGCAACAGAGCTGCAGCAATCTTCTTTCACATTTGCTTGCTACACTGCAAGTCTATGTCCTGAAATTTTCTGTGAAAAGAGGGAATGCCTTACCAAATTCCTATTTAGGATAGTTTTCAAGCACAACAGCAACAGCATGTTTTGCTGCCTGCCCTCATCCAAGACACAAGAGCTACTTGCCCAGTCTCCTTCCACTAACCCAGTTTCCCAAGCCTGAACTTCTACAGTCATTGGAAATAAAATCAGAAGTTTAATTTCATTTCACTTTTTTTAAAGTTTGGTCATAGCATTTTCTACTTCCTCAGCTTTAAACATACATTTTAAAGGATATAAGCTCTTGTATCCCATTTTCCCATGCTTACTGCTGGATTTATTAGGAGAATTAATTTGCCCTTGGAGCACTTAAAAAAAAGGTATTTTTAAAAAACTCTACATTTATTTCTTTACCAACATTCTTGCAAAGAAGTTTGCCATTTTCCAGTCATCGCACAGTTGTGGTGCATGTTCTGTCCCACTCACACAGTGCCAAGAAATCACTGGTGAGGGACTGGGATGCAGCAGGACCATGTCTGAGCTGTGCTGTGTCAGCTACCAAATTGCAGTGTAGGATTTTCTGTTTTCCAGGGCAAATCTTGCCCTTACACAAAATAACAGCAGGGGGAAGTAATGCCTCTGTCTGGAGCGATTCTTCTCCCCCACTGGCTACAGAAATACAACAAACTGTTTGCCTCTTGTTTAATAATCATCACAGAAAACCCACTGGCTGTCACAAGGCAAGTTTAGTGTGCTGAAATAAATGCTGTGCCCGTGATCTGCAGATTTCTCTTCCCCTTTTACCTCAGCCAGACTGTTTAGTCTAACCTACTACCTGCACTAAGTTTACTATTCTACTTAGCACTGGATATAATCAGAGGCTCATTTCTCCCAGCTGTGTGGGAGAAAAATCTTAGAGAAGATTTTGTGCATTGGCTGCAAGATTTACACCCCTAATGCCCCCCCAAGTTCTGATCTGCCTGCACAGTTATTTCATGTCATTTTGCCCACAACCTCCCTGGTCCAAAAGATTCCAACTATTCCCAAGGCACTACATTGTCTAAGTAATTACTCCTTTACAGTTGTTAAACTGACAGGATTTTCTGATTCTTTCAAATGAAAATTTCAACAAAGACTTGAAATTACCACAGCTATAGTTTCCAAGTGAAAAGGTACAGCAGGCATCTGGGGAAAAACTCCACATGGAGCAAGTGAAAAACAGCTGTATTTTATTACTTGGAAACTGGGGGCGAAAAAAATCTGAACTATTTTTTCCATTTACAAGTACTTCTTCATATGCAACTGGCTAGGAGTAGAATCAAAATTTCACTAAACAATCTACAAGTTTTGCAAATGCCTCTGGCAGTGTAAAACATGGCCTTAACGCTGCAACATGAAGGGCTAGTCCCCAAAAAAACCCTTAATCTCAGCAATACTGAGCAGGAGAAGAGGAAAACCCAGCAGGAAATCTGGGAACCCCACACCTTGACAAAACACATCACAAAGGAGCAGTGAGTGCACACTGCTCTTGTAACACACACAAGTTTCAGGAACACAAAAGTTATGGAAACACATTCAAAAAGCTTGATGATAGCCCAGGAACAATGTTGTTTTTTTGTGACAGGGGTTGCTGAAACTGCAATTAATGTAAGGAAAGCACAAGCTGCCAAGGGGCTATTTTAGTGTTTGGAGAGCAGCACAAGGCTGAGAAAGTGCAATCGACTTTAACTCAGCTGTTTTGCCAAAAATGACATTTATCTTTGAAAAGGAACAAGCCAAGCCAAAGACAGAATGCAAGCTCATCTATAATCAATAACAAATCTCAAAATAAATTAAAGAGGGTTGCAAAATTAGGTTTGGGCAATAAAGACTCAATAATTAAAGAAACTACAACAAATTATTGTTGGAAAAATATTTTTGGCTGTGTTAGCCCAGGGGGGCCACTGCCCTAGGCAGAATGCCAAGCAGGGCAGCCAACACTTGCTACAGCCCCACATCCTGCCTGGCTTTTGGATGCCCTCCCTGCTGGCATGTTCAACCCCATTTCCATTCCATCACACCCCCAAAATTAACCCTCCCCGCTTTGCCCCAGCCCTGCACTGATCACAATTCATGAGTGCATTTCTATGCACAGCACCTGTAACAGCATTTCCTGTGAGTATTCAACCAGGTGTCAGCATCCTGTACAATTTACACAGTGCATGAGAAAACCACATCCATTATTTGCAAACATCCTGGGGGCAACACCTGCTGCAGAACAGACCTGAAACACAGAAATTATATCCCAAGAGATGCCAAAACCATTCTTCCAAGGAACAACTTGGAAAACAAAAAGTGGGAAAAGCCTCCAATGAGAAGTACAAGGCTGTGGCAGAGATTCCCTTGCACAACCAGTGAGACTCTGCTACCACAGGGCAGGAAATCCTGTGGGATTCCCTGAGGGAAATCCTCCTCACAGCCCTTCAGAAACCAACCCACAAACCAAGCCCTGCAACAGCTTTGTGGCAAACACAGAGCAGGACCCTTTAGTCACCACTTCTATGCCTCGTCTCCTGGTTTTCCAATTAACCTTGTTGGGCTGCCTGAAACCAACCTGTGGCTGTTCCTGTCAGGGAGTGCTCAGAGCCAAGCTCTGCTGGCTTCAGCAGCTGGCCCAGCACAGCCTTCCCTGCATGGGATTGGGAGGGTAGGATGAACATGCCCCAAGTTGTGACACTCCTGCCACTCTGAGCATCTACATTTGCACCACTTATGGCCATTACAGTAAGGGCAAGGGGCGACAATCAGGGCAGCAAAGAGACTTCTTGTACAGAAATTCATACCTAAACCTCATTCAGAAGGGAAACACTAAGGCCATTTAGAGAAAAGCTATGCTAGAATTTCTCTGTGAGAAGCTGAGAACACAAGGACTCTTGAAACACCTCATAACAAACATTCATTTATTGTTTATTTCCCCCATATGAATCAACCATCTCAGAAATTCCATCACACGCAGGGCAGAAAAAGGTTATATACAAGAGGGACATACATCCCCAAAATAAGATGTACAGATTTATCATGGAAACCAAGAGGGAGGGGCGAGGACAAAACCAAAAACAAGGACATTGCAGTCAGACTTTGACTTTCAGTTACAGAAGAGATCTCTATCTCCATGTAAGTGGGGTTTTCAACTATTAAATAAATGGCATCTTAAAAATAGAACATTTGACAATTTCATCACAGGTATTATTATTTTTTTTAAATAAATATTGCATGGAAATGATGCTGCTTTGCCACCATAGCTGCCTCCTTTCTCTCTGGGATTAAACAATCACCCCTGGTTTTCCTTGGATTTATGATTAGCTTCTTAATGGCAAACGCTATTTCCTCCACTGCTACGTTTTGATTTCTGTTTTTATTTATTTTTTGTTTGTTTTAAAGGCCTGAATAGGCCCAGGTGAAAATGATGAGCTTCCTTCCTAACCCTCTGCAGGCCTCTGACCTGGCTCAAGGTTGAAATATGATGGCTTTTCTTAAAATTTCCTATTATTTGAACAGTCTTTCTCTGTGTCCTAAAACAAAACCTGGCTTCCTGCTGTGGAAGTCGGGAGTGATACTTCCAAGATTGCTTTCAAACTGAGAGCCCCCAAAGAGCTCCCACATGCCCATGACACAAACTGCCTGTGATGTTCTTTTCTGCAAAGCCCAGGGGAGTTTGTCCTGGGAATGGGAGCAGCCCTCACACAACCACTTGTGCACAGCAGCAAGCACCTCTCCTGGCAGCAGGGAGGGACATGGAGGCACACAGAAGGAAAGTACCAGGACACCCCTGTCCCTGCTGCCCCTTATGCTTTCCCCTAACACTGCTACAGTTCCTGCAGACTCCCACTGTGGCTTCCAGGTTCAATAAAGCTTTCATCTTTCCTCCTCCTTAGCTGGTGATCCTAGAAATAGCTTTGTCTAAAGACAAAGTCCAAAGGTGGCATCGATCTGCCAGTATGGGATCAAGTTCCAAAGTGCACATCAGCCTCCAGGCTGGCTGCCCATCCCCACGCTTCCTGAGAACAAAACAGTTAATGCTGAGCCCTTCTCTGACCCTGCTTACTCTGAGCAGTTGCTGCTCCAGGGGGGAGGAGTGCAAGCAAAGCTTGATAGGTAAAATGGGGAGGGGGGGCATAGATCTTCCTTCCACTTGTTAGGACAGCTCATCCCTGAAATGCTCTGAGGTTTTTAACAAAGTGAACATAAAAGGCCAATCCCTTCAAGGTGCAGAAAGGCCCAGCCATGATCCCAGTGGTCCTGCACTGCCAGGGAAGGTGACAGGAGAGCTCCCCTGTGCTCAGGACCAGTACACTCCTATCATCTCCTCCCAGAACCAAGAAGAGCCCAGGCTTCCCCGTGGCAGGGGCCATTTCTACAGAAACTACTTTTGGAAATGCAAACTTTTTGCTGATATTTATTTACTGTCCATTTTCATGAGCCTCAAACCCATGAACAGGTATTTTACAAAGGGGGTACTTCTGCAGATCTGCAGACCTGTTCCTCCCTAATCATGAAATTATGTGGAAAAGGGAGATAATTCTTTCTTGTAAACACAATTATTTTGGGATACCATCCTTCTCTTCACCAGTCCCACGGGTCTGTCAGAGAGAGGGCGAGGGCTGTGAGAGGGGACCAGCGGGCTAAGGCACACTATTACGGATGAGGACGGCAGGATGCTGCTGTCACACCACAAGGAATCTTTGGGTAGAGAAGGGTGTCAACTCACTGAATACACAAATGCCATGGGTGCTGCCTTCACTGATACTGTGACAAGGAAAATAATGCTTGGAAACAGCTCATTATTCCTATTCTTGTTCCCTTGACAGGTTTCTAAGTCACTGGGCCCATCCTATAGCATGCATGGCTGACAGAGCACAAGCTGTCTCCCACAAGAAGAAGACCCTCCTTTGGTACAAATCCTGCTCTTAAATATTCACCAAGACCCTCAATGGTTGCAGGCAAATATCCAAATGCAAAATTTATCTTATGTTCCACATGCAGCCACTTAATCCCTCCTTAACCAGAAGTAATTCCTTCCCATGGAAGCTCCTAGAACGATGTCCAAGCAACCACAGTGAACCAGTGCAGCTTTCCACCCCCACCCACTGAAATGAAAAAAAAATCAGCCCAACAAAGAATCCTATGGTGACATCTCTCAGCAGAGAGGCAGAGCTGTTCCAAACATACCACGTCGTTTTGCCACCCCAACTGTGTTTGGCTTGCAAGGCTAAAGCTGAGCCAGCCCCTCAGTAACACAGCTGGAGTGCCTGGGGCATGGATGTGCATGACAGCACAGCAAGGAGGACCAAACCAGCGACGACTTGGAAAAGAAAACTTGCAGCACTGAAGGCAGTGGCTTCCTCAGTTATGTCAGCTGGCTGACAAAAGCAGGAGAGTGAGGTTGGAAAGCAGGCAGAGCAGATCCTTTTGCTGCTTTTCCTGTAACATAATGCTGTTCGGTGCTTGATGAGGTTGCTACTTGCTCTCTGAGGAACAAAGACACCAAAGATTGCATCTGTGCTTGCAAAAGCAACTCCTCTGGCATGTTGTCTGGGCACTCAACTGCTGCAGACTGTGGGATGTTGCATAACCACCTCTGGAGGCAGATTTCCTTCTTGTCAGCATCATGTGCAATTATTGTCCTGCTGGTTATTTGCAAAAGAAATGTTTATAGACCATCAATACATCGGGCCATTCAGACAAATCATTGCACTTCATCGTTTTAAAGGAAGGTGCCATCCTCCATCTCTTCTTTTTCAAGGTAGCAAAGTGCTACCCTAGAAAAACACAGTTCAAGGGTTTTCCAGTGTAACCAGATAACTTCCAACTTTATTTAAAATATTTTCCCTTGCAGGTGCTTTGTACTGAACAATTAAAAAAAATTAAACTGTTTCTGAGGCTTCAAAAGTGCAAAAAAACTTCAAGGTATTTAACCACCTGGAGAACCAGTTAAGGCATATTTGCTTCCAGTCTCAGCCACTGTAATCCCTGTCTGATGTAGTGTACCAGGTCTGTCAGGCTACTGGTCAGTGCCAGAGCACTTGTCGCTCTGCTGAGTTCAGCAAAAAACTCTGGGGAAAAAAGGGAGAGAGAGAGAAAACATTTGGTTGGTTTCATACACCAGGCACAGCTGACAGGTGAGGAGTGACAGCAGCACACAGTCAGCTGGCCAGTCCTGTAAAACAGTGCTAGTGCAGACAGCTCAGCAGTGTCACAGGGCTGGGAAGGGTGACAAGCACAGCAGGCAATGCAGGCAACAGCAAAACACATCTACACACACTGAGCCACCTCCTCATGTCCTGACTTTAAAGGACACAGAGACTCCATGATAGGGGGGCAAAAGCTTGGGTGTTCACACAGTCCCAGCTTCAAGCTTCCCCCAAATTCCAAACAGGCCAAATTTGAGTGTCTTCCTGAGCAGAAGGTGTGCTTCACCCAGAAGCACACACAGCTGTGGTCCCTTTCCTTCACCCATCCTCAAACCTTGGGGACATCAGAATTTCTCTGTTTGTGTAGCTTGCCAGGCTGGTTTGAATTGCTTATAGCCAAGCGTGTCAGGCAGATCTCACATTCCTCCCATCCCACCACCAACTCCAGGCATCTTGCTCCTCCTCCCACGCAGGAGGTGGCTCTTGCAGCACACCCGACCCTGCTGTGAGCAAGGCTGCAAGCCCTGCTCTGTGCTGGCAACCCTCTGTGCAAGCGACCATGAGCTGTGGGAAATACTCACACCTATTCCTTAGCAGTCACCTTTCCAAGACATTCCTGCATGACCTGCCTCCCACTGACACGGGCCCAGTGCCTCATTCCTCAGCTCAACCTTGTTGCTAAATACCTTTTCAGAAACTGGTCATTCTCAGCTCTCCTTTTTGACATCCAAAGATTGAAGCTAGAAGTAGAAAAATTCTGCTTGGCTGTGCAAGGAGCTCTTCAGAAGCAGAGAGCACAACACTTCCTTTCTAGTACTTGCTAATGCAGAAGCAGAGAACACATTCCCTCTGATTTTCCTGCTTTTGTTTACAGAATCCATGCCCTCCATGGGGAATAGAAGGAATTCAAAGCCCCTGTCTGAACAAACAGAAGATAACCTGATCTGTCAGCACAGCATCATGTGAAAGGAGAAGGACTTCACATCCATGCCTGAAGCCTCAGCTTTTCTTTGCAGGGGGAGATCAGAGGCTGAAGACAACGTGTTACAGCCTCATGATCCAAGTGCTGCTCTGAATTACAGTGAGGAGCTGGGACCTGTCAGTGGACCCTCCAGAAGGCACTTCAGCTCTGCACCAGTGACTTGGACAGCAGTTACAGCCCACTGCTTTCCAATTGCTTAGGACTGCCCTGCTTATAAGATCTTGATAGCTAAAGGCTGCTGCTCTTTCTTCCTCTTCTTATGCCCTGTGTATTGCATAAAATCAACGATGTGGCCTTTTTTATTCATTTTGCATTTTCACTCTCTGTACCTCTTTGTATATTACGCTGATTATCAGTAAATTCCAGTTCTGAAATGCTTCCAACTGCCCTGAACAGTGACACCACCTGCATGAGTACTACATGAGTATTTACTGGTCTCTTGCACAGATCCACTCCCTGTAGAGTATTTAGTAGGCCATCATCATCCCCCTACATCAGGACCAGCCGCACAGAGCATGTTTTGGATTTAGTCTTGACTGATGCAAGGCTGTGCTCAGGCTTCCCTCCCACACATTTTCCTCCATGACTCACTCCTCTGGCTTATTAGTAGCATGCACTGCTTCTATGTGACAGTCTTTTATCAGCCTTTTGAGGACATAATCAAAAATGCCACACATGAACTGCTGCTGCAAGCACAGATTTGCTCAGAGGACAGCCAACAGCCAGTTTTTTATTCAAAGGTGACTTGGAAAGCTTTTTTATTTTCAACAACTGCCTCAGTGTGAGGATTTTTACAGCCTTACATCAATCCAGCCAGGCACATTGAGCTTATTTTCTTTTGCAAGTTTGCCAACAGGTCGTGGCAATGCATCTCTTCAGCCACACTGGCTCACAAAACTTTGTGTTGTATGGAAAATGACACTGCTGAGGCCACGTGGGATGGCTGGACTGCACCCACCCCGTGGCTTTTGTGTATTCACCACTGCTTGCACCAAAGGACAATACAACATTTCTAGCAACAAAACCGTAAAATAAAAGTTGCAGCAATTCTAGGAATTGCTGCTGGCAAATACTGGGCATGTGCCCAGCAAGGACTCAAATTCAAGTGCTGCTCAGTTTCTCTGCTAGGCAGAGAAGCCAGCTTCACCATTTTCAAGACAAAATGACATGGAAAGTTAACAAAAACTAAAACACAAGGCTACCAGCCAAAATGATATTTTTAAACAAAGTGAACCAACTCAGAAGAGCTCAGTGCCCCAAGGGGAAAGACAGAAAAAAAACAAATCCCTTACACTTCTTGAGTTACCACGAAGCAGGTTGGCTGGTTTCCTGCACTCAACACTCTCATCCCTTAGCTGTTGGACATTTGAGGATGCCAAGAAAACCTTTTAATGGGAACACTCATCAATATATCACCATCAAGTATCTCTGCCAATATGCCCTGGCAGAGATATTTAAAGCATGAAATATGTTAATCTTTAGGTATGGTGCTTGCTGCACTGAGTGTAAGGATCAAAGCAAATACACACACAACCATGACACACTGGACAGAAAAGACAAGGGCCAAAACTTACCTTTATTCTTTCTGGCCAGTGCATCAGCCTTTTCCCAAATTTCATAAGCATGGAGGATATAGGAGGTGATGTTGACATAGGAAGAGGTGACACTGGAGATATGACAGGAGACAGTGACAGTTGAGCCAGTGCTGTTGCCAATGCTGCTGTGGCCAACGCCGTTGCTATCATTTGATCCTGGCTGAGAACTCCCAGATCCAGCAGGAGAGGGTATTGGAGAAAGAGGAGAAGGCAAGCCTGTGCTTCTGCAGCAGAAAAGAAACACCATCATGAACATTCAACTTCAGAGCTAAACATCTTTCTGCAAGGCTGCCTCATGCCAAGAGCTATCTGGTGTCACCCAGGCCTGCAGCATGGAGTGGACTGCTGAAAAGTGAGATGTGTTCAGCTACAGCACAAGCAATTGTACTTTGAGGGCAAGGCCAAGTTTTTGGAAGGGATTTAGAAGGACTCTTCTCAACAAGAGAAAATGTGGGACCAGACACTGAAAAGGGCCATCCATCCATCTTCCAAAATCTACACCTACTTGTGAAAGTCTTCACCAGATTATCCAAGTGTTTTCCCTAATGCCTTTCAAATCAGGCACACTGAAGCTCTCCTCCTGTGGAGGCTTGAACTTCTGGCATCTCCTCAGAGCAGCCAGGTCAGCCTACACACACGTATTTATAGACCCAGGGCAGCTAAGTGTGGTCAGCCGGCCGCCTTCCAGACATAGCCTGGCTCATCACACTCCCACCACTTCAACCAACCTAATTTTAGTCCCTGGTATGACAGGGCTTCCACCACTGCTCTCAAGAGACCATTTACTTCTCAATGAATTATCCTCTGCAAGGTGGCCAAAAAATGTAACTGGAATCGGCACCACTGTCAAGGTCCAAACAACCTTCTCTCGGCCACAGATTTTGAAAGGCAGCTTGGTAGCTGTCTGCCACATGAAGTGACCACAGAATACAGAAAAGTTCTTACTCATTGTCATTGAAACACAGACACATGAAAATAAATTTTTAAATCTTACCTTGCAACACCAGGAGAAGGTGCTTGTATTACTCTGAAATTACTCTGCAGCAAGGAATAAAAGCCTAGTTAGTTTTGTATTGTTCAGCTGGCATCAGTAACTACCATAGCCACCTAGCTGGCAGCTTAATGATACCTGTGCCCTACCTTGAAGTGGTCATTCAGGAGTCTGGAATACCTCATAGCAGTGTCTTTTTTGTAACCAAACATTGCCATGTGCAGAATGGACTGGCAGCGCATGCTGTGGACAGAAACACACCCGAATGTCAGTGTTTGTGCCCAGCCCTCATCAGCCTTTTGGGATGGAGGCAGGCACAGCTCAGCTCTACTGAAGGTCAATTAAGCTCAAAATTTCTCCTCCTTCTGATCATAATTATGATAAAAAAAGGCTTTGTGAAAAAAAAATACAAAGGAAAGAAAGCAACAAGGAAGGGCCTCCTGTGGTCTTTCTTACAAACAGGTGCCCAGGCTCTCAGAGGTGCCAAAGGCTGAGTAAGCCCCCGTCCAGAAGTGCCTCATCCATGTTCAGCTACAGCTTCAGTTACACAGCTCAAACATGGGCAGGCAAATCACATTCTTTCACCTTAGGTGAAAGCCCTTATGTGCTCTCAAGTTACCAGCAGATCAAATTTTAAAGCCTGTGCTTTCTACATGTAGTCCCTTGTAGTCCCAGCTTACTTTAGAGATGTTTCAATTCATTCTGTTTTTTATATTGTGTTTTTTTTCTGTTCCTTTATATTGTTAGTTTTTTTTCCTTGCATGACTCTAACTCCCATTTAACTCATTCCTTCACCCCTGGAACCAATGGATCTTTCCCTCTATCAAGTTTCAAAGCAGTGCACAAAGGAATAGAACAGTTACTCACCGTAACACAGCAAAGATTTTTCCGTGTGAAGAGACTGAGGAGTCTGCAAAAGGTTTCAAAGTCATAATGAATCTAGGGAAACAAAACAAACAGAACCTTCTCAGCCACTAGAGCACTCTGAAGCCTCACAGCTTATGAAAAAACAGTGCATGCCATTATCTTAAAAACAGTAGGGAAGTCAGGAAACCTGCCCTGAGTTCTTAGTCCTGGTACAAGGAACTTGGTAATATTTTGGTAATATCAGAGGACTGACTGCATGTCAAAATGCCCTCCCCTCCAAACATTCCGAACTGTCACCCTCTGAAAGCCACTTACTTGATGAGAACTATGGTGTCACTGAATATGCTGTAAGCTGATTTTGGTTCCAGCACATCTGATTCCAAGGCAATCCCATATTCAATGAATAAAAGAGCAGCCTCCAGGTACTCAAAGGCCTTTCCAGTCTTGTCAGTCTATTGGGAAGAAAATTCTCATTTTTTAACGAAGACCAAACACACTTCTCTCAAGCATACTTGAATTCTTTTTTCTTCCTAGTTAGGCAGGACTTGAAGAAAGAAAAATATTTCAGTCTGGCCTCTGGGTGAAAATTAAAGAGGTCTCAGCAGAACCCTTCATGTGATCCCAGTCATCAACTTTGTGTGCTACATTTGTCTCTCTTTGCTCAATGGTTTCCTTGAGTAATTTATTATCTTCACTATTTTTTATATACTGTTGTCTGCTGTTGGAGGCTTGCCTTCTGCTAGGCACAGGGGGATTTCCCACTGCAGTATGCCCTCATTTCATTTTCACAGGTAAACAGAAAGCAGCAAATGGACATTATCTGACTGAGATAATTATTTGCCATAATTAGCAAAGCAATGTATTCACTTGTGCACACTGTTAAGCTGCACAGAGTAGGGAAAATCAGATCTGCCAAGGCCACTTCCAAGTCTTGGTCACCAGCAGCTCAATAAATGCCAGGATCCTGACTTTTCTGACTTTTTAAACTGTCTTAAAATTAACTGTTCCATCTGTTTTCCAAGGATGTTTTTATAGCTCTGCAAAGCTAACCCCCGACAATACCAGTTCTGAATCTCATTCTCTAAGTGTATTTTCATAAAAGAGAAACATCTGAACATCTGGCAAATAAAGACAGACTCCCAACACATGACTCCCACTCCATGTGTCATGGTAGCCAGTGAACCTCATTCCCACACACTCAGGTACCAGGACTGACTGCAGGAGCTGGTCAACATTCCCAGTACAAGATCAAGACTTACCATTGCATCAGCTTTGTGCTTCAGCCTCTGGGCCTGTTCGATGTAGTATTCCTTTGAATGTTGCCTGAATTGGGGACAGAGAGGAAAAACAGATGAAAAAGGGTAGGATAATCATCAGCTTTGCTTTCTTATCCAAAGGGTGCTATGGGTTGATTGATTTCTTTAAAAACATATGTTGAACTAATATAAAAATTTACATTTAGAAATAAAAAAACAACAGAGGTTGGGCTTCTATGGGAACAAATTAATTTCCTCATTCCCATGGAAAGACAGCAGTTACATCATCTATCATTCCTCAAGTACAGACCCATAAATACATTTTAATTGAAACAAAGTAAATTTAGCAGCAACCACACACTTATCTGAGACCAAAACTTGCATTCAAGTTACCTGCTTACAAGAGAGATGTAATTTCCAGAGTACCTTACCTCAAACCAAAACTGTTGCAAACTTTTACTTTGTGGTGGATAGGCATGAGAAGGCAGTACAAGGCAGGTCTCACACATCTCTCCCCCTCTCTTTCCTCTCAAAGAAGTGCTCAGGAAAAAGCAGAAGCCAGGGTGGCCTCATGGCCAGCCTTGCCTCACGTCTTCAGAAAGAAAAAATGAGGGGTATCAAACAAAAACTTACTTTTCAAACTTGAGCAGAGGTCTCCCTGGCTTAGAGGTACCATTTGGCAAAGAAGGCACTGGGAAAGGCTTTGTGACATCACCTGCAGATCCCTGAAAAAAGACGGAGATAAAGCTGGTTAGAGAGATATACCTAAACCAGTTCCAAAGCCTGGCTTTCCTAAATTTCAAGTGAAAATGTTTATCTGTCCCAAGCACAGTCTATTCTCCAGGCTCTCTTCACCAGCAACCCCTGCTTGCTTCTCACCTGACAGCTTGTATGCCCAACACCATTCAAACTTCTCCCAAGCTCAGAGAAATTCAGCAGCAGGTTTCCTTGCACAATGACTAAGAGAGCAGTGAGGCTGCAAGCAGCACAGTTTTCATGGCCTCTAGCCAAGGCAGAATGGCAAGATCTATTCACACTTATTTCCACCTTAACCACACAACAATTGCTGATTCCCCATTACTAACTACAAGGAAAAGGAAAAAGCAAGCAGTTAGAGCCAGCTAATACAGTGTCCACAGTCTGGCTTAACACACACACAGCAACATCCCAGACCACACATCCTGAGCCTCCAGTAAACAGCCATGTAATCAAATTTTGTAACCCAGAAATGCAAAGAACCAGCTGCAAGGATCATGAACCATTTTGTAAACAAGCTATAAAAGCTTATACCTGGGCTGTAGTCAATGCCACAGGTTGCTTATTTTCTTATTTTTAATCAATCCCTCATTTCTTTTTATAAGCACACTTATTTTTACACCAATACATCAGTATTACATTTGCAGTTGCCTAAAATCTGAAATTGTGATTAGCATAAACGTGATTATCATGCCTTTGGTGTTTCCAGAGTATGTTTCTGAGAGAACCACATAGCACCCACGTTGGAGGAAACATCTCACCAGTTATCCTGGATACTTACTTTGATGCCCTTCGACAGCTCCATATGATTTCCCTCTACTTTTCTGTGCTTGGCAAACAAAGGATCCTTGTGGTTACTCTTGTTCCTGGCAGGGTTATCCATGGCAGGCAGTTCAGTTGTCTCATTTCTGGGTCTCTTTTGGGTCATCTTGGCTGACTTTGGTGCAGGCTGTGCAGCAGACATGGCTGGCAGTGGTGGGAGCACATCTTTCTTCTGAGTTTCAGATGAAGTTTTTGATGCTCTAGAGATGGGAAGCAAATTCATGAATATGGTGTACATACAACGTAGGGATTTTTTACAAACTTAGTTACATCATGTGCCAGTTCCATTTAAACTCCTCTGGAAGCGTGAGATGACTTGTTAATACAAAGAATTCAACAAAAATAAAATGAAACTTTAGGGGCTTCATCGTGCTTTAGACAGCAAACCTTCACCTACCATCAACATACAAGCAAGTTGCCTTTCAAGTAGGAATAAACCTCAGAACTTATCCTTGGACCAAACACTTGAAACCAGAATATCAGGACATGGCAAAAAAAGCATGCTTCCAATACAGCCTCTTTTCACTCAGTGAGGGAGGTGATTACAGTGACTAAAATCCCTGGGACAAATCACCCAACAAGGAAAATCAACTGCAGCACTGCCTGCCTTATCCCCTTTCGGTAGATCATATTTCCTGTGGTCAGAGGTACTCACCCTGACACTTGATCCTGTATGTGCTTTGACAGAATTAAACTGAGTTCCTCCTTTAAGACTTGCCAGATTAACTAGACAACATTCACAAATTTGAGAGACTTAAAATGCTACGCTTTTAAATGGCAGAGATTATCACATTTAATAACATTAGATTTCGGATCATCTGAAGTTAGGATGAGCAGGGAACCCTGACAGCTCTAAGTAGCACCAAATAGTTCTAAACTTTGTTTAGAACCACTGCTCATTTATACATTTTTATTCAGTTTCCCAAAGATTCTAAGAAAACACTGAGCAGGGAACCCCAGCTTGTGGACTGCAACATCAGAAGAGGAGGAAATGAAGTTTAAGCCAGTGAGGAGATTGAGGTGTGAGGGTGTACATCCTGCCTCATTCTGTTGTGCATGGGACAATCCTCTCCCTTCTTTCACCATGCACTTTTCCCATGGTTTGGTCCCTACTCACATCATACACATGCTCCCAAGCTTCTCCACCTTGGCACAGCTGATGCTCCACAGAGTACAGAACCATCATCTGACCTGCCCAAGTGCACTATCTCCCCAGAAATGCATCCTATCCTTCCCACTCCAAAAGCCAGAACATGACTAAAACAGGTGCTCATTTCCACTGAGAAAAAGGGAGGAATAAACCCCAGAATTAAAGATCTTGCAATACTATAACAATCCAAACATCCTTTCACCCAACTAAATGTTAATCCCAATTCCTCAGTGCTTCCAGACTGTGTCAGTGTTTTCTCTTCAGAAAAGCAGTTTACTCCTCTTGTCAGGACACAAACCTCAACACTACATACCAACCCAAGCCAACACCTCAAATTCAAGCCACAAGCAAGCAGGAATCAAATGCAGTAGCCCATGACTGAGGCATGAGTCTCCCCTCTCGGGAACACTGCCCAGTTAGAAACAGGCTCTTGGAAGCACTCACTAGAGCAAAGGCCTGGCCAGAATGCTGCCAGTGCTCTGGTATGCCAATTACAGGGAAGGCTCCAGCAGAGCTACCAGCAGCACTGAAATGCTGCACAGGGAAAAAGGAGGAATTCCTGGTCACAAAGGCCACCTGAAATTCCAGACAGTCAGGACTCAAAAGCACATTGGTTTTGTGTCCATTGGGTCACGTAGGAAAACAAGACAAAGGACAATAGGATGACTTTAGTGGAAAAGGAAAATGCTCACTGCCCTCACCCACCCACACCTACAGAGCTGGTTTTTGATTTTGGTTGCTTCCAGGATGTAAAGACAAATCTGCTGTAGATTAGGTTTCAGAAGGAACATTATGTTAGAAGCAAACTCATGAGTATAAGGACAGGAGATACACTTCCTTCATCTAAGCTGTTTAGGAAAGACTTGGATTTATACATCCTTCACTGTATACTCACTTCAATTTACTGGAGTCTTTGTTAGATGAAGACTGCAATGATTTTGTTTCTTTTTCTGATTTCATTTTCTTCCTATCAGTTTCCTCCTTCTCTCCCCTCTAATAGGAAGGAAAAAAAAAAGAAAAAGTAAAATCACTTAGGCTTTCAAAATTCACATAAAATACAGATCAACACAGCTAAGTTTGATTGAGTCTGGTTAAAAAAAAGAAGAAATATATCTTATTGGAACCAACTAATTGCAAACCCACAGCACAGAAGATACAGATGGCAAGCTCACTGACAGGTAATCTAAAATGACATTTTATCTAATTTTGCTTGGCTAGATTAATTGCTTTGTAGTGGCAGGGATGAAACTGCTAAACCTGTTGCTGCTACCAGTAATCAAAAACAAGGCATTTGCATGTGAGTTAGATCACACAGATACTACAGATATGCAGGGGGGCTCATTTTTATCACCAAAATGCTGATATAGGTGAAATTTAAAAGCACCAGTAATCTGGGGATCCCAGAGCTGGATGCAGCACAGCAGGTGGGGTCTTACCAGAGAGGAGCAGAGGGGCAGAATCCCCTCCCTCAGCCTCCTGACCACACATGTTTGGATGCAGCCCAGGACACATTTGGCTTTCTGGGCTGCAAGCACACACTGCTGGGTCATGCCCAGTCTCTCATCCAGCAGAATCTCCAGGTCCTTCTCCCCGGCATGCTCTCAGTGAGTTCTTCTCCCAGCCTGTACTCATGTCTGGGACACAGCCAGCTTTGTGTCACTCACAAGGGTGTGCTGTGACACAGTCTGCCTCTGGCAGGGTGCTCAGGACAGGGCTCCAGCACTGAGATCACATCCTAACACTGTTTTTCAGGTTCCACACAGGCACAAAAGATGTCTGACAGCTGTACCTGACCCAGCTGGCTGCCCTGAGGCCCCAAGGGTACTGATGCACTGACAGAACTGACAGTGAGGCACTGAGAGGGGCTTCCCTGCAGTCAGGCACTGGGATTGCAAGGCAAGACATGTCTAATATCAAATAGCTCCTCTCCTGTGTCTCTTATACAAAAGGAAAACATGTGACAGATTCACTGCCTGTTGCCCTTTCTCCCACTGCTCTGCAAGAGCAGGAATTTCTGTTCTTCAGAACAGAAATCTCTAGTTTCTTCACCATTTCTCTGCTCTTCTCAATTCTACCTCGCAAGTACAGGAAATTCATAAAATGGCAAAACTAAATGAAACCCAAACCAAGGGCTGAGCCACCAACTCTCTGAGGAGGACCAAAAAAGGAGTCAGGGACTGAAATATCCAGAGGGAATACCCAATCCCCACAAGGTCTGCAGCCAACTCTTTGTGCAGCTGACCCAGCTGGCTGGAGGTATATTCATAGTCCCCTTTGGGAGTCAGCTTCTCAAAGAACACTTGTGAGCAACGATCACCTAAGTTAAATAAAGGGCTGTCTTATAATTCAATGGAAAGTGACTGTTACAACTAGTTTTATTGTCTGAGAAAACCAGGATTTCAAGAAAACAGAGCAAAAATATATTCCAAAATACCCAAGCATGTTAGATAGCTTACAGAGCTTTTCATTTGCTCAGGAGGGATTTGTGACCAACAAGAAACATCTGCAGACAGTTTTGATTCACATTCCCCTTGATAATAGCTTTATAGAAGGATAATGGCTCTACTCCCAACCTATGAAGGGGGAAGTCCACACAGGTTTTTCAGATAACACATTGGTCCTTGTACAAACCCACCTCCCAATCCACCTCTCACCTTCTTTTTTCTAAGGGACTCCTCAGGACTGTCCATGGCTTTCCTCTTCAAGTCCTGTTTCCTTGCACCAGGAAGGTCCTTGGTCTCTGCTTTCCTTTGGTGCTCATTTTTCCTGGGGGGCTCAGGGACTTTTTCCAGGTGACAGAGATCTATTTTCACCACGAGGTGCTCACGGGTTGGGGGATCCCTCACTGGTGAGAGCAACTTCTCCCTGAGAGGCAAGGGCAGTTTCTCCTTGGGCAAATCCTGAAGCCTGTGGCTGCTGGTCCTGATGGAGGTTGTGCCCTGGCCCTGAGGAAGGGGACTGAGACCATCGCGTGCTTGGGCATCTCCCATGAGCCTGGGGTCCAAGAAGGGTTTGGCATTGGCCTGGTGGGAGCCCTTGTCCTTTTTTTTCTCAGAAGGCTCTTGAAGTCCTGGTTTCAGATCTTTTCTGTCACTGGATTTTGTCTTCACTGTTTTTTTGACTTTTGGCTTGTCCCTGAAAGACTGGTCAGTGACCTCCAAAGGCCCAGGCTCACTCTCCACCTTCAGGCCTCTCTTGGGCTCCTGGTGCAGCAGGGGCTTGCTGGGCCCTTTGATCCCCACGGTCTGCCTGGGCGAGGGCTCGTGTGCCGGAGCCTTCTGGCAGCTGCGTTTGGTCGGAAGAGGAGCCTCCTGAGGAGCCCTGGCCACTTGGCTCTTGTGAGGAGGCTCCCTCAGCTCAGTGTGCTGCTGTGAGGAATTGCTGCTGATGTCCTGCTCCTGCTTCTTGCCCTCCTCACGTCCATCCCCACGGGCAATGTCACTGAGGCTCTCTGTTGGCACTGCTGGTGGGTTCACCTTGGTCAGCCAGTTGTCAAGCTGCCACTTATTAGGAGTTGGTGGCTCGGGCTGCAGACAAAAAGAGAAAGGGAAGATTCAAAACTGATGTCTTTATGGGCTGTTTCCATCCTAGCAGAGCTTACCAGAGCCCAGGGACTGCTGCCTAGAGGTCTCAAAGTGTTTGCTTTTGCATGTGAAGAACTGACTATAAACAAACAGGCCATGTGCACTAACTTGCTCTAGAGCATCATGGATGAACAGTTGGCTGAATAAAAAAGGACGAAAAGGTCAATGGCAATAACTAGGACTTCATTAGTATTTTCAAGACAAACCAGGCAGAATTTAATAAAAGAGAAGTACATCATCTTCCTTCAAAGACACCATATTGCAGTAGGCAAAGTCTGTAACTGAACTGCTGGAGGGCAAAGAGTATTAGAGTGAGATGGAAAGATAGGCTGTCTCAGAGCTTGGTTTTGGCTTCTCTCTGTTTGTGCACTTCTAAGGTGAAAAGAGAGAGAGCTAGAGCTGAGGCAGGGGAGGAATATTAAATTACAAGGGGTTTTGTAAGAGTACCTCAAAACTGCCAGTAGATTGTTTTGCATCAGCTGTGGTCTGCAGACACAGCCATGTACTTCCCAGTGGCCTGAGAATGTTTTGCAAGCTGGAAGAACTGTTTGAGAGCATGGGACACAAGCACTTCTGCAGCAGATTTTTTTTAAAATGCATGGTCTCACAATTATGAAAGTTTAAGGCACCAAGTTCTGTTTGTCTGCTTTCCCCAATAAAAGCCTCAGAAATGCCAGTGCAGCAGTATCCAAGTCAAATTCAACAGCAGCAAGACTAAGCATATTCCAGCCCTTCCTGCAGGTCTGATCCCTTCAGCTGCAACCTGAGAGAAGCTGAACCTGTCACTCATGCACAGAAGCTGTAGGGAGGCAGCAGCTCCTCTTAAATTATCAGGAAACTGCTCTCACCCTGCCACTTCCCATAAAGGCACCCAGAAATCCTGCACAGGCAAAGGTGGACCCCACACAGTCCAGCTGTGCTTCCCATTTGTGCCTTCTCTTGTCTCCCAAGTGAAGGCACTGATTCCTCCAGGAGGGCTAGACAACTGAGCCAAAGGACATGGGGGAACACTTCCAGGTTGGGCATCTGAAAGTCTAATCATGTTAGTACTAAGGGTAACTAAGGTTGACAAACTCAAGAATGGAAGCAAAGGGCAAGAAAAGTCGAGTGATGCAACAAAGATGTCAAGGGGACACCTGAACAATGACAGCATTTCAAGTCTCCTGCCCTGACTGCATTGAGACAGCAGAGTGTGAGGCAAGGGGCTGTGTGAGCAGCCTCTGCCTTTCATTTGCATTCACCTCAGGTGCTGGTGCTCTTGGAGGGTCGTTTGCTTCACTGTCACTCGAGTGGCTCTCTGTCTCCGAGTCTGAGGAGCTGTCTGAGTCACTGGTGCTCCCTGACTCCGAGCTGCTGGAATGTGCTGATGCCACACTCTTGGGCTGGGACTGTAAGGAACTGCAAGGCCACGTGAGATAAAATTAGAAAGCAGCATGGCTGAAGGTTACTCACTTATTATATTGACAGGGCAGTATTCAAAAATAACTGAAACCCCATGTTATGGCACTTAGCTGAGAGGGGAGAAGGCCAGAGAAATACATTGGCATACTCAAAAAATAAAGCACCAGAATAAAAAATTGCTGGAAACAATAAAACCTTCAACTCCAACCCAGTCAAATATGCAGGCAGGATGCCACTGCTACAACGTGGAGCTGCATTTTGCCAACCAAAGTTTAAAAAGCACTAAAACTGCCCAGTGCTTTTCTGAAAATCACAACTCTCAAAATCAAAAACTTCCAATAAAAGTGAACGAGGAAGGAACATATATTTCAGGATGGTTTCTGGTTTTTCTGTTCTTCCCTTTAAGTTTTCCCTTCAGCTGTGTTACTTGGTCACGTTGTTGTATCCACTTTATTAATAACCACAATAGCAGCACTTCTTGCAACACCCTGCTCTAACGAAAAGTGTTTTTCTCCACACTGACAATGGAGTGGATGGAATCAAGGAAGAGCTGTCCCTTTTATCCACAGTGTTTTTCTTTTGAAATGGGCTTACAAAATTAAAATGTAGATATTTTAATTTATCAGTGTCAACACATTTGTATGAGTTGGAGGCAAGCTCCTTGCTGATCCAAGACTGATATCATGAGATCACTCCTATTTTAAGAGTTTGCAGAGTCACACATCATGCCAAGTATCGGTGTGCTCCTCTGCAAGTCTGACTTTGTAGATCACTCTTGTGCTTGAAGAATATGCATATCAAGCCAAAAAAATCTACTTCAGTGCTCTCCCATAGGAAAAATTTTGAGCTTTTCCATCCTTCTTCCTCAAATGCTGGCATGTGGCTGTTCAGTCTACCTTGAATACTGCTTCTGACTAACAATACATGGCAGGAACTGCTTACAATCAGCTTCCTTATCAAGAGGAGCTGAAACAGCCTCAGTGAGTCTTCCTAACCCTTTCCTGTTCTTTACCCACTTGGCTGTTTTGGGCTTCCTTCTGAGCTAAAACTGGATTCACATCTCACCCATTGCCCCTACAGCTGAAAATCCCATCAAGCTGCAGAGTGATCTACAGACACTGGTGGAGGGGAGGAGGAGAAGAAAAAGGAGCAGTTCAGGAAATACAGTTCTGGTTCATAGGCAAAATCCAGCATGCCTGGATTATTCATTTCTAATTGGAGCTTTCCAGAAAACCCCACACAACTAAAGCTGACTTTCAAGAGCAGCCAGAAACCAAAATCTGTAGCTACAAGAGAAACCAGGAACCCTTACCCTTCTACCCCACATATAAACAGCAGTTTTGTTTTTCTCCTTATGTGATCTAGCTAGTAGTTTGGGAACAAACCTGTACCTTGGAGGAGCAAGTGAAGAAGGTGACTTTTCAACAACCTGTTTTGTTCACAAAGACAAAGAGGAGAGGGGGAGGAAAGGTTAGCTCAGAACTCAGAACAATGCAACAAGTGGTGATGTTTAAAGGGAAGTCTGTGTGCCTAGTGTATAAAACAGCTAAAACCGACTTGGTCGTCACCACTCTCTTCACTATCACTGAGCTGCAGGTCGTCCTGGAGCATTCTGAAAGACAACCAGAAGATAAATATCAGCCAAGGCAGACACATTTTGAACCAGCAGGCACTGATAAAGATTTGGTTTGTACTTGCCAAAACAAACCGACCACCCCCATCCTTTCTGAACATCTGCCATGCTCAAACTACTAAACCCTGTCATTACCTGAAATGAATGGTTAAAATGTTTTAATTTTTTTATGGGTACAGTAAGAGACTCTGATGCTATCAGCCTGTACTGGCTCCCCAAGGGACAAAGTGTCAGGAGCACCAGGAGCTGTGCTTGTTCACACACTCTGCTCTCAGGGGCTGTGAATGTTTCTTCTGTCCCAGGGGTCCTCATTCAGCTGCTCAAGTCTCCAATCACACGTGTAAATCAACGCCAAGGTCAAGCCTCTCTCCCATCTCTTCTCTACTCAATGAACTCCATTTTCCTGCACATCTCAGCAGTACCATCAAGCAGTTCAGGTACTCAGAGCAGTTTACAAGTGGGGAGGCACAAGCTCTGTTTCACTACTTCTAGAGAAGAGAACAGGCTGCCCACAAACATTTCCAAAAGCATAATTTAGTCCTGTGCCTGCAGGTGGTAACTACTGTTTGCAATTTCAATATATTACCAAGGTTCTTAAAAGGCTGGAAGGGAAGGAGAGGGACCCAAAGCTCTCCCAGGTTGTTATCCCCCATCTCTGGCAATTGTGCAGGCATCCCAAAAGAAGTTAAAAAATAGGCAGGTAAAACTTGGCTATTCAAAAGTATAGTTATTCAAATCTTGAAGCTAGCTTGCAATTTATTCCTCAATCCAGAGGATTATTCAAGTGTCCTTCCAAAAATGGAATCAAAAGCTTGGGAGCCGAGACAGGGATTTTAATCAATCAGGTCAAAACTCTGCTTATTTCAACCTCATTTCAAACCAAGGGCTTTCTGTGAGAAATTTTTCTTATGGCCAAAAAAGAAAAACAGGACTCTGACCCTTCATGACAACATATTTTATAGCAAGAAAACAACTATAAAAGATCTCCAGTGAACCACATCACCCTGGAAAAATGGAGAGAAAGTTGGAAAAAGTCGGTGCTTTCTTTTTTCAGGCATTTTGACTGTCATTCCCCTGTGCTCTACCCTCCACTGCCTCATTTCCTCACACACCTTCTCGCTGGAAATCACCTCTTGCCTCTTCATTTAGAGTAAACACTGAAGGGAAGCACTATGAGACACCACCTTGGAAAGGGAGAGCCCCAAATTTCCTACAGAAGGCCAACAGCCTGCAGTCTGCAGCAATCCTGCACGAGCCAGCTCTGCTTGTGGGCCAGAGCCCAAGCTCACTGCCAGACAGATGAGGCACAGAAATGAAAAAAGAACAGCAACAGTACAGGCACTCTCCACACTTGTGGGCAGTTTGGCTAAGCATCTACTGGTATCTCAATGAATCCTTTTTATTTTCTTTTACAACTCCTAAGGGGAAAGAGTCCTTCAAAGGTGGTAGTGAAGAAATTTTCAGGGATGCTAAAACAGGATGCTCAAAGGTTTTAAGTTTGGTTTTGGGGTTTGTTTTTTTCTTGTTTGTTTTTGTCTTGTTTCTTTTTTTTCTTGTTTGTTTTTTGTGCTTTAAGAATTGTGGGCTTATTTCCTTTAGAAGTGAGAGGGTAATCACAGAATCATAGAATGGTTTGGGTTGGAAGAGACCTTTGAGATCATTTAGTCGGAAACCGCTGCTGTGGACAGGGACATGCAAAGACACTACCTAGATCTCTTTAAATCTGATTAAACTGTTTGCAATAAAAAGGACTACCTTTCCCACCTGAGCTCCTGGTAAACAAAATGCATAAAAGAACACTGCAACTACTTATGCTCCATTTGGGATCAAGGAAGAGCACTAAAATTTCAAGTCATACTTCTACAAAGGCAGACAACAAAGCCACTTCCCCCAAAACAAGGTTTTGACAAATTGTTAAATAGTCTAGTTAAAGAAAATAAATCTGCCTTAATAATTTTAATGCTCCAGTTAGCTCAGGAATTAAAGAGATGCCAAGGTTTCATTTGCAGGACCTGTTCATCTGCATTATATACACACCATTAATCTCCCTAAAGCTATTTAAAAAGAGTTCTTTCAATGAAAGAAGCAGCACTAAAATTATTATCACTTGCCAAACAACCTCGCTGAAAGCACAGGCTGGTCCCTCTCTGCTAGCCAGGTTAAAGATGCATCACCAAGAATGAGCTGGCAGCTCCCCTTTTAAAAGAAGGGCTGATTCCATTCCAGCACTGCCAGGTGCAAACTTCAGGGCTGCATTCAAGAATGAAATCCATCTGGGAAATCCCTGCACGCTCTGAAAAGCTGAATGCTTAATTTGGGCACACAGATGCCCTGGGATTTCATCTTCTAATTAACCAGCACAATCACTGTTTGTTTTCAGCCAGCTATACTTTGCAACACAAGCTACTGCAGGCAGCTGAATTTTCAGACAGTCACGTGTGCTTTGAACAGCACAGAAAGCCAAGCCTGTTGTGCCAGAGAAAACAAACACAAAAAAGAAGGGATGCATCACTTCAAGGGAAAGATGTAGAAGAAGTCCTGGGGCAAATTTCACTTGGACACAAACCCAGGCCACTCTGTTCCTCCTGCTTCCACTGCCTTTGCCTACCGTGGGCTCACACATCCCTTCCAGATGAGCTCTGGCTCTGAAGTGCCCAGCAAGGATGCTGAGCAGAGAGGGATCATGGCTAAGGACACAGCTCCATACCATGCCAAATTTACAATTCTGGCCCTGTGGGCCAAGGAAGGAGTCTTTTCCAATTCTTATCTGCAGGAAAAGTCTCTTCTCTCTCTGCTGCCTGGAAAACTGACTAAAGAGCTAACGGGATTTTTACGAGCAGTTGACAACTGAAATAATGATGATGGTCATAGGGTAGCTGGGGAGGAAGGCAGAGCCTGGAGCAGTTGGAACTACTAGTTTTAGTAGTGCAGTGAAAATTTCCAGACATCATTGAGGAGGAGTAAACTGGGGTGGATGAAAGTGAAGCAAAATAAGGAAGAGATTAAGGCAGTAGCTGACTGCTCAGCAAGTCACTATCCCATGCCCCCAGTGAGTGAGGGCTCCTCTGCATAGTGCTGGAACAGTAGCTAAAGGGGTGTTTAAGAGACCCTACAGAGCTTGAGTGAAAAATTCTAGAATCTCAAGCAAGATGGAGATATGCTTTTGCTCTTACTTGTGACTACTTACTTGTAAGTAACCCAGTTTTGCTGGGTTTTTAATTAAATGATTTGTGATAAGGAAAAGGCAAACAAGTGGAGTAAGCTTTGTAGTCTGTAGTTTGCAGCCTTCTATGGAAGAACATATCATGGAGTAACAAGATCTTTATGTATCATATGAACCGACAGACATTAGAATTTAACGGTTCAGCAAGCGCCTTGCACAGGGACCCCCCCTGAGCCTTCCAGACATGGAAAGATTTCTGTTTGTTACTCAGGGCTCAGAACCTAGCAATGATGCATTTGGCCAAGTTAATCCTGAAAGATTATTGTCAGCCCACACAAAACTGCTTTCAAGCAAGCAACTTCTGTAATTAACCTAATTAACAGATAACCACTTTCACCTACAAGGACAGCACCAAGTTATTTTATCTACCTTTTTTTTTTTGCTTTGAAATTTCAGCCCTGTTTTTTACAGTTCTAGTAGGTGTAGCTTTACTAGCCCTCCCAGGCTTCAAAACAATATCCAGCATCAATCAGATTCAGTTTGGATCCTTTGTAACTTATGTCAGTTGGATGCATTATTGTAGGTTGAAGAGCACAAAACTGTGATGTTAAATAGCCACAGATTAAAAGAACAAAATAACTTTAATCTGATGTATTAATAGTTGGGTTTTGTCTTCAGTTTTGTTTTGGTTTTAACACAGTCATTGTAATCATGACAAGGTTTAGTGGACTTGGCACTGTCAGGTTAAGAATTGGACTGGATGATCTTACAGGTCTTTTCCAACCTAAATGATTCTATGATTCCATCATGAAACAATGATGTTTCTGTTGGTGAAAATTCCCTGCATTGGAATTTGTCTAAGAAAAATCAGACTGATAAAACCTTAATCTTCAGAAACATCAAGTAACCCAAAATTTGGTTTTTTTCCAGATTCTTTTAATTAACTGCATAGTAGAGACGTGAACAGGGTCTGGTTACTTACGATGTTCTTGGCTGAGAACCTGGCAACATTTCTGAAGGTGTTCCATATTGCTCTGGAAATCAAAAATAAATACGTTGGGTTTATTTGCCTCCTTTATAGCATTTTTGCACCCTATGGTCTATGAGCACCAGATTCACTACTTTCTTCTAGGACATAATTATCATTCAGATTATTCATTATTCCAAACAGGGTTTCCTAATGAAATACCATTTGTCCTCTGATAAACAGCTGCCTTAATGTCTAGGTAATGAAAGTACACAATCTCTTAAGCCATTTCTAAATTCATCACTGTTCAACAAAGCAGAGCAAACCATGCCTCTTAATCAATGCAAACATTTGACATGTCATGTATAACACACAACACACAAAGCTACCTGTCAATACACATACTGTGTGTTTCCTTTGGGTATCAACTTACTCTGATCCTTTGCTACAGATCCTTCAGGTTGCAATTCCTAGAAAAACAGGACAGAGTGCAAATTGAGAATAAAATAAATGAGCTCTCTCATAAGACTAGCATATTGATGATTTGTTTTTCACGTGTTACTTTACTGTAATAAACATTTCAACTAGCTTGTCAAAGTGTCCCATAGTCTAAGCTAGCCTGACAAAGCTTAGCATGGACAGAAATTATAATGTGCTACTGTCACCAAAAACAGGTTGTGGTTACATTACATTAGGAGTACGTGCATTCTTGAAGAAATACTTTAAAAACTTTATAAGGGCTGCCAAACACTTCTGTTTAACACAGCCAGCAAATATTTCTGTTGACCAAAAGATAAAATGTACTTTGTGTTTCAGCAGAGATAAAATGTCTCAGACAAGTAGTTGTACTTGAAGGCCACAATTACAACAAACGTCTAAGTTTTTTTATTCATCCCCATTGTGCTTTAATTTATCTGACTCTTTCTGAAGGTACTACCTCCTAACAGGCCCTATTTATAGAAGGGGGCAAAAAATCAAATGGAAACACATACAATAGTCAGAAAGCTCTCTCCTACTTTATCAGCAGTCCTGGCAGAAAGAGTGTCTTACCTTTGCTGGGAATGGAAATTTGGAAGGCTCTGCTTTAGTAGGTGTATTAAGAGCAGTCAGGGGAGGTGGCCAAGACCGGGTCATTTCCTGGCAAGAGATTGAGAGGAGCAGCCATCAGGATTTTTGCTGATAGGCACAGATCAAGTTTCATACTTCAGAGATTCATTTGGATTTACCTCCTCATGCATTTGGATATGTTTGCTCACGGTTGCTACAAAAACAGTGATATGCATTACTAACAGGCTAGAATATAGGATATGTCTGGTGAAACACAAAAAGATGCCAGATTTCCAGGAGAAGTCCTTGTGCTGCAACCCCAGTCAGCACAGGGCAGCCAGTGGGCACCAGTGCACAGTTTACCTCTAGCTAAAACACTGCCCCAACAGCAGCTTCTGGAGAGCAACCAAGGCATCAGGATTTTGCAACCTCAAGCAACAGCAAGGGAAGTGAATTGCAGAAACCAAACTGTTCCACCAGTATTTCAGCATCTCAGAATAGCATTTGACATCAAGGAACCATCTCCTCAAGATCAGCACCACTGGCTTGGGAATCCCAGGGCATTTTCACACTGTGCACAGGGAAGGGATAACATGGACTCAGCCACAGCCACTTGGAGCCTGTGCACTGCTCACAGTCAGTTCTGACACAAGGTTACAGCATCAGACATGGCTTTGCTCTGCATCAGTGGGCTGGAATTACAGTGAGGGAGCAGCAGCAGTGCCATGCACAGGCAGGTGGGAAGGACACCCTCTGCTCAGGGCCATGCTGCTGGGGCTGGCAACACAGACATGAGGCAGCTTGTCCAGAGCCTTTGGATGAAGGGCACTTGGGAGTGGCAAACCCCTGACTTGATGTAGCAGTAGCTCTGGCTATCTTAGATGACTTGTCAGTCTTGAACTGTACCAGACTATATTACACTTATGTACTGATAGAAAGACTGATCTTACAACTCCAGCTGTATTCAAGGCTGACTCTTATCTTTACTTCTCCTCAACACACCCTAAAACTAGTGACAGCTACATCTGCTGAGTGAACAGAAGCAGAGAGGTATTTTTTCCCCAAACATTACCTTAAGGCATGCAAAATCTAAGCAAACACAGAGATCTATTATTTAACAGTACCTACCCTCAAAATTTCTTCAATAGACTGCACATCAATGGGGTTGGTTTGCTGTAACAAGAAAGAGGGAAGCAGTATGAGTTCGTGTTTTTTACCAGCGGACGTGAGAAAGGCACGCACTCAGTGAACATTTGCTTACCAACAGCTCAATAAATTTCATGGAAGTCCATTAGTAATAAAATGCAAGTAAGGATTAAAATCCCCATCAGAAGGGCAGTTAGTAATGCACTTCTAAAATGCCTCTTGTTTCCAAGTCCTTGGCAGAGGTGACTGGAGATTCCGCCAGGACGCTCTGCCTGGAATGGGGTAAAAGGACTCAAACAATGCCACCAGCAGCAAATGGTATTTGCAAAGCCACTGGTGGGTCAATGGAAAAGGGAGCATCACAGAGCTTTTGGTGTTGAATAAATCTGAAACCAGTCTGACTCATCAATCCCAAAGTTAAACATCCTGATAGTGAGATGCAGATGTGGTAGACTCGGTAAAGTACCTGATAAAGGAACAAACATTCTACTGATACAACCAATAACTTATCTAAAGCTGCTAAGCTGACACAGCTGGCCTGAAGGGATCTGACAGTCAAACACTTGATACTATAAAAGCCCAGTTCTGAATTTTAACAGCAGGATCTTCTAACATATCCCTTCTCGGTGTGTATGTGTGCTTCCACACACTGATATGTCCCAGTCATGGGGAACACCCCTTCCACAGATCAGCTTCTCATCTACTAACAAGGCTTGTGTTTTGAACGTATCTGTCATTTACATGCTCTTTCCTTACTGATATCAGTAAAGGAGGCTAAAACAGAAAACAACCAAAGAACTGAGTAGTTATAATGAGCAAAATGCATGCCAGATCAGTTTCTTGTCTATAAATAAGAAATTCTATGGAAGTGCCCAGTCATGATCAGAGTAGTTGCTGAAAGGGAAAGACCAGGAAGACTTTATTCATATTCAAGAAAGCTGACAGTGAGCCGCAGTGCCCAACCAGAAGGATCTTCCCCGGACAAAAAATTAAAGAGCAATGCAAGCAAACACTTAATAAAGTCCAAAGTTGTCATCCTTGGCCTTTTACAGGAAGTCCACTCATCTGTTTCCCACATGCTGCACTATTTACATTGGAAGAAGGAGATGAGGAATGCCTTTTCCTTGCAACTTCATTTGTCTGAGTCTACATAAAACTCTCATTGAAGCACTGGTCATTTGACAAAGCCTTGAATTTCTTCAGAAAATCACATATGGAGAGCTGCTTCTGCCCTTACTCACCCAAACAAAGCTGAGGCAGATTAGTCACATGAATGAAAGCAAGGCCTGCAGATGTGTCCCACAGCAGACAGGAGGAGGGGACAGGGAGGGCAACCAGCAAGGAACTACCACATGGCAAGAGACTGGAATGTTTCATAACTCATAGTGACAAAAAAGACACCCCTTTTCCTCCTTTTCTTCTCAGCAGGCTTATCCTGATAGCTCAGACTAATTTACTTCTTAATTCAGTAAATGGTGAATAGCAGACACATTCACTTGCATCTTCCTGTGCAAAATGCTAAAATGCTTCAGAAACTCCTGTGATATCCCATGACAGCACCACAGAAGAAAATTTCTTACCAGTTTCATGGCAAGTTAAGATCCTGCCTGGATGAAGTATTTCAAAACTCTGTCTATAATGGATTGATTGCAACAAATCAAAATCAGTTTATTTCACCCATTTCAGAAACTTAAGTTTTATGAGGTGATAAGTGATGACAAAAGTGGAATGCAATTAACCTGAGAATAAGAGAATATCTGTAACAGCCAGTCTGGACCTCTCTTACCCTTGCCAAACAACCCACGTCCCCCTTCCTGGAGTTCTTTCTGATGAACCTGAAAAGACTTCGACATTGATACAGGTTTACATACACAGAGTATTTATAGTTCAATAGTCAGGAGGATTTATTGTAACCCCCAAGGGTTCAGTGACTGGTTCTTCACAGGTCCAGGGGCTCAGCAGAAACCACTTTCTTCCTCATGGCACAAAATTTAAAGGAAAACAAACACACAACACTGAACAAGCACCACACAAGTCTGCAGTGGCAGCATAAGGACCTCTGTCTTTGCTGGGTTTTTTAGGACACCATTATCAATCACAATCACAGATTGTTTGGGACATGCACAGGGTCAAAACCACACCAAAACTGGGCAGAGTCAGCTGACTGCACAGGGGGTCTGCTCTCAGGTAGGACTGTGACTGTCCCTGTGCCCCAAGGAGGTGTGGGGCACACCTCCTTTCCCTCCATCCCAGCTCCAGTGACCAAGGACATTTCATCTTTAACAAAGCTATGAATCCAGTGCCTGAAGGAGCTGGGCTTTTCTGCATCCTGAGTGTTTTTCTCCCCTTTTGCTTTTTTTTTTTTTTTTTTCTTCAAGTCACATCTTGGCTGTGTTTCAGCTTGTTAAACCACTAAACCACCATTAAACCACAATTACCACTCAAGCAGCAAGGGATGTCCTTGCCAGCTTTAAGAGAAGAATTTTAGGGGAAAAGAGAAATACGATGCTGCTGCAGGAAGAGTTACAATGCCATAAGGCCAAAGAAATCCCTGAAAGGAGCTCAGCTCCACTGAGGACTGAGGCTGTGGGAGATCAAATATTCCACATTGCTGTCTATCCCTGCTAGCACTTCTTCAGCCTTTCCTGGGAACACTGTAATGTGCTGCCTGCAGACAACTCCAGTTAAGCCTGGTGCATATTTACTGTCTGACACTGACATCTGTACAATCCCCAGCTTGGATTTCCTTATGCCACATCCACACTCTTTCAATTTGGGAATGACACAGGCACCTCCAAATGTCACTTACAGAATGTTTTGATAGTCAAGGTCAAGCACAATCGTGAGACATCCAGAATTTTTGGTTTGCTGGGTTTGGTCTGGCTTTTTGGAGCCAGTGTTCCCATCCAAACTGATGCTATGCTTCAAAAACAGCTAGTTCCTGCAGCAATAGTACTAATTTAATTACTAATAATATTAATAAGAATACTGATTTAAAAGTAAAAAAAGGAAAACAGTCACTGAAGGATTCATTACTACTTTGATCATGAACTGAAAAGGACTTGAGGCAAAAATAATTTCAAGCATCTACACAAATATAAGAACCCCTAGAAGCTACTTGAGGAATTAGTCTGTCTTTACTACAACGGGCATGCAGAAATGCACAGGTGCACATACCCACAAAGGAAGAGAGGGAGCTCTTAATTTAGAAAACAATTTAAAATCTGCACAGGCACTCAATTTGCACTGCATAGCAAGTGTGTGACGAAACTCTCAGAAATACTTTCATGTCCTCTCCTCACAAGCAATTCCAAAATCCACGCACTTTCATGAACACGTAGCTCTGCTCATGCCCTGAGCCTTACACTGCTCTGTTAGGGAACGAATTAGGAAATCAGGATAATAAACTAAAAACCAAGCTCAAACAGGCACAGAAAAGAGATGTCCCACTGGCCGTGATAATATGTGGGCCATAGACACTACAAAGAATAAGCAGTGGATGTTTTGAGGGTGTTTTTTCATAAGGAAGATGGGGTTAGAGAGCTTCTAAGGTTATTTCTTTTTTAAAAGATATTCCATTAAAAATTGCAGCACACATTTTCATCCCACTCTGTCACATGTGCCAAGTGGAGCTGAAGGACTGTATGGCTCTCTTGTGTGGAAGCAGGGGGCTGAAGCTTTCTCCCTGGTCTTTAAATAGCTTGCCTCTTCAGGAGGCTGTGGCAGAGTAGTTTCAAGTAAGATGTCAAAAAAATCACCTCCCAGAGGGAGTTGGCCATGCATTATTTCAGAAGCCACCGTGTGACACCAATGAGATGTATGGGCTAAACAAGGCCAGGGGCAGTCAGAGCACACAGAGTGTGCAAAGACAAGGAGGGCTGGAAGCAGACATTAACTGGAATGGATACAGGCTGCCTCTCAGGCAAGCATTGAGGTGTCACAGACCTTTCTGCTCCTTCATCTCAGTAATTTCCACCCAACTGCTTATCCCTGCTATTTGCAAGCCTCTGCTGTCACAGTCCATTTGGAGCTGCTCCCTGACATCCTGTGCACAAACAAACCCCTTCTTTCTCCATCTCCACCTTAAGTGAAGCTGGTGCTGCAGGTAGCCAGGCAGTGTAGGAGAGGAGCAGCTACAGCACGAGTGCATTGCCTGGTATCTCCTCCTAATTAAAACTGAAACATGTGTGTGTGCAGTTCAAGTATGCCAGCCATTGCTCTTTGCCTGATCTCAGACTGAGTTATTAGCACCAACAAAACCCAAGCAAGTGGTGCAGCAACAATGAGAAAAGCCAATTATGAGTTCCATACCCTTCATTCTGCTGTCAGGTTTTCTTTGTTTCCTAATGAGAGCTTCTGCCCCTGCATCTATCAGCAGAGAAGGTCACCTGTTCTCATGCTAAAAAAACCCAAACAAACAAACAGAAGAATCACATTTTCAGTTGCTTCCCATTTAATACTATGCTTTATTATACTTGAATAGGAATAGCTAGTTTTAAATTTATTTCTTCATGTCAAATGTACAGTCATTGCCACTTGAATGTAATGAAGATCACAAAACTGCATACTTCACTGTGTGAAGGCTCAGTTTGAAAACAACAGGCAGGACAAAAATCAGGCTGAAATCTACCTTTCTGTCCTCACTTCATCTATCTGTGCTCAGCCAGCCAGAGCAGGAGGAAATCTTGCATATTAGATGCCCTCTCCTCCTCGCACACAAGTCACGCCAGCAATATTAAGCCAATTTACTCTCCAAAGCAACTTCCCACCTGCATTTCTGTGCAGTTAAAAATCCATCCTCTCTGTGCTATAGACACGTGTGAGATGGACACGCACAGGGCATGTTTCCAAAATGACCCAGCCAACAAGAGACAAGGCATATTTTAATCAAGCCTCTACTAACCCTGATGATGGATGCAGTAATGATCTGCCATGTATTGAAAGAGGCTGCCAAAGCTTGAAGCTCAAACCGTACTGTTGATCGACACCAACACATAAACATGAAAATTCATAAAGGCTTTCACACA